CAACAAGTAGGTATTTTAAATACAGATTGGTTGTATGTAATTTACATGAATAAAGTAAATATGCATGATTTTTGCAAAATAAAAGTTGAAAAGAAATACATGCTATAGCTGACAGTAGAAACTTACTGTGTTGTACATAGAAAATATAACAACAGAATGTGGGTTGTGCAAGGAGCCCAGTTATTGTTGTTGCCCAATTTGGTGTGTGACCCAATTTGTCAGCCATCAAATGAAGATGAAAATGAGAATGAAAATGGATTCTGGTTGCCAGACAGACCCTTAGTCCTGTTTTTACCGTGCCCCCAAAACTGCGTTAGAAAATGTTTATGTAATCTTCGGACTTTGAAACTGTGTCACGTCAATATTCCCTTGTCCCTCTGGGCCCTTTGACACGTTTATAGCCCCAAAACTCCTCCTGGCCTTGCAAATGAAATTTATATCTCATTGAATTGTTTCCTTATATCGATAAAAACGTTCAAAGCGTCCGATCACCCAAGAAAATGCCTACAATCCAAGCTCCTGCAGCACTAGACTTCCTCTCAGCCTTCCCATAGCAATCTCCACTCAGTTTGTCAAATTCCAGAGCTTCGCTGCCTGTAAAATCTTCTTCCAAATGTCTACTGTCATCTTTCATCCTCTACCTCGTCAGACCTCCATTCTCTTTCCAATACCACCTTCAGACGATCCTTCTACATAGTGCTTGGAAGTTAGGTTAATTAACTGGAAAATAACCGAGACCAGACCGGACCTAACCGCAAAAAAACCGGACCACGGTTAGTGGTTAGTCAATTCTAGAAATGAAATAACCGGTTATTTTGCGGTTAACTAACCGTTAAAAAACCGGTTATGACCGGTTACAACCGACCCTATTATACCCCTTCAAAACGCATCTAAAAGCATGAGAAACACTAAAAATCTGACAGAGTTATGGTCAAATCTCTAAATTATTGGCTAAAATAGTAGGCTTTCAAGAATATTATTATAAAATTGTCAATTCTTCACTGAATTTAGCGTTCTTGGGCTTGTTTTAAAGCTACGACGCATGGCAATAATGTTTACTGCAAGGAATATGAGAAATATACGCTGTTTTAATCGATTTTCTATTTTTTCGGTCCTAACCGGTTAGTAACTGCAACTAACCGGTTTTCATCGGTTATCTTCGGTCCAGTTAGGTTATTTTGGGTCTGGGAACGAACCCTAACCGGTCTCGGTCTCGGTTAGAGCCCCTGGGCACCCAATAACCTAACCTAACCGGACTTTCAAACACTACTTCTACAAGCCCATTCGGCGAGTATGGGTCCCGGGACCGTGAACCGTAGTCTTGAAGGACTTGTGCAACACTGAGCTGAGCAGATTTAGGAGCTCATTGTTGCCGCTTTGCCGCATTCATCATATCTTTGAGCCTGGCACTTGTTGTTTGAAGTTCGTTAACCGTTTCTTCCGAAGGTTCAGTGACCGGATCAAATAAGATAGGGCCATGTCGTTGTTGTTTAAAGCTCTTGTGGCCTGCCGTTTTTCACGTCACTTGGCTACTAGAGTGGTTCTTGTGAGGTATTTCGTTGCACTGTGATCGACATATAGATTTAAATGATGAAATTGAAGAGCGCTGATATGTGACTCGAGTAGTAAGCCCATGAGTCGTGAAGAATGCGGCTGAAATTTGATGGGAAATGAAATTGGATCATGATAAGCAATGTGTTGAGTGTTGGAGACAGATGCAAGCCATCAAGTGATGAGTGTGGTCGAAAGGTGTGGTTATCTGAACATCGTTCAATTTGGCAAATGAATTCACCAAAAGTAAAGAAGTATAACATCACGTTTAAGGTGTATTGGAATAGAAATGCATGAGATATCATGTTGAGAGCAAACAGCAAGGAGGCAATAATGACGTGATGCGGTTTCAAAGTCCGAAGATTACATAAACATTTTCTAACACGGTTTTGGGGGTGTGGTAAATAACAGACTTCATATTATCGTGAACTTCACATAATGAGCTTTAGACCCATGCCTATGGCATGGCGCTCGGCCGTTCCTTCAGCATGGGTCACAGCTCGCCAGGGGCAAGCCCCTTGGACCCCCTGGTACACATCTTTAATCCCAGTTTCAGTACTCATCTTCAATCTCAATCCCATGTACATTCTTAATTCTAATCTTTATATGTTGGTGTAAATGAATGCTCCATCTCCATATACAATAAATTTTTCATCACAGTGAGAAACTTCATAAGAATGATTATTTGAATTATTCTAATCTCTGTATGTGCCAAGTCCACAGCCTGTTGGGCCCCAACCCCTGCTTCCACATGACCAATAACTTGGCTGGTCCTGTGCTGGGGGCAGGCCCTCTAATCCAAGTCTTTTCAAATATTATGTTGCAAATTCAAATCATTAAACAGAGTCTTGAATATTTTTTACATGTCTTTCAACTTTACACCCCCTACTACCCTACCCTGCTCCAATGTTTCTCATATTTTTGAACTGCAAAATACCAATATGTACAATAAATATATTTTTAACATGACCCTCCCTACCTCCTCAGCTTCCCCAAAATTCTCTTTGGCCAGAAAGTAGAGACTTGTAGTGATTTTGAAAAATTAGATGATCTCTTCCTGGGTTTCTCATCTCTATGGACTAAATTGACTAAATCTTTACTTATATTTATTGAACTTCCTCTGTCCTCTCCCAAATCAGCTCCCTCAGCCCCCATTTACCTGGAGGATTCACAATTCTCCAATTATATATTTTTATCATCCATATTAATGTATAACTGCAGGCCTATTTGTTGAAATGAACGTGTCGTCTCATTCACTTGGGTAGATAGGGACCCTCGCAAACGGGTGAGGTCTTCATCTTGTAACTAGCTACCTAAATACATAGTCTAATTTGAAATAATCCCTGTCACATGAAGCACAAAATGACTATGGAATGATGGAGGAGTTATCATGGAACAATGCAATCATTGTTTCCACGAACGTGATGCGCTTGAAATTCCAACACACCCCCGCAAGCGCAACACGGACTCGAAGCAAACAGAAGAAAGAAACACACCCCCGGAAGCTCAACAAAAAAGACAATCCTGCCAAAATCCTGCAACACTCCACCTGTCTTCAAAACGCAACATCATCTTCAAAATCGGAATCACAAAAAACTGCCGCCGCCTCGCCCTTCGATTTCTTCGACTTCTCCCAGGCTCGCTTCTCTGGACAATCAGACTTGAAGTGCCCCTTTTCACCACAGAAAAAACACGTGACATCGGCTCCTGCATTGTTCCGCGCACCATGACCACCCTTGCCTCCCCCTGTAACCGTCATTGCTTCATCACGTTCCTCTGGGTCCTTCGTAACGTTTGAGTTGCTGGTTTGGCGTACTTCCTCATTCAGAAGACGCGCGATAACATTGTTCAAGGTGAGCAACTTGGAAGGGGTGGCGTCGAAGTTAATGATGACAGGGTCGTACGAAGGGGGAAGTCCCATTGTGAGTGCCAGTATCTTGTCCTGATCGCTGACGTCGACACCAGATTGCTCCATACAAAAGATGAGGCCCTGGATATGCCCAATCCACGCCTGCATTGACTGTCCATCGCCCTTCTTCGCAGTTAAGAAGCGTCGTTGAAGGGCCAAACTCATCGCAAAGCCAGCCACTCAGTGGACGCACTCCAGGGTCTCCCAGATCTCGAGTGGGTCTCAGGAGCACATGTGTGACAACTGACCATCATCAACACGCAAAATCATTTCCGCATGAGCTTCGTCCATCTTTCCAGCATCTCGTCTCTTCATCGCACTCTCCAGCTCGGCTGCAATCGTCGATACGGCTTTTACCCCCCCCTCTGCGTCTACCCCTGAAATTGGAATCTTGACCATAGACCACAGACCCCGCCGGACGAGGATGGCCTCCATCCGAACAGACCACTCGGCATAGTTGGAGTCATTGAGATTTGGGAAATGAACAGTGGTGTCAGTCATGGTGAGAAGTGGGGATTATCGTAGCAAGGGAAAAGGTGAGTTGATCTTCAAGTTCTTCAATATCTTCGGTTCTTCTGCAGTGATATCGGGCTGTGGCCATCCTCTGCAGATATATAGGTTCTGCAACCTGTGGGGTGATAGCTCAGTCAACGGCACACGAACAAGTGCGTCAGGTAGGAGATGGGATATTGGATAAGCAGTGAGGGTATAATGCGCGTTTGTGTTGAAATGAATGTGTCATCTCATTCACTCGGGTAGATAGGGACCCTCGCAAATGCGCGAGGTCTTCATCTTGTAACTAGCTACCTAAATACGTAGTCTAACTTGAAATAATCCCTGTCACATGAAGCACAAAATGACTACGGAATGATGGAGGAGTTATCATGGAACAATGCAATCATTGTTTCCACGAACGTGATGCGCTTGAAATTCCAACACTATTCAGAATATTCAATTATAAGCAACCTCCTAAGTTACAAAAAAGAAATCTTTGACATTCCAGCCACATATTCAGTTACATTCACATTTCTGATATATTGTTAGATGGAATACAATAGATAGCTTTGAGAGGTGCACATGAAGATCCCACATCCTCAATGAAGAGCCGGGGTGCAGGGGTAAAATTCTGGCATAAAACAGCAAACCCATCCAACATACTCAGATATGATGATAACCCTCATTTATAGATGGGATGTTTCAGGAAGCATTCCCAAGTCTCTCTCTGGAGCCTTGCTATGCACAGAAATCAAATATTGTACATGCAAGAGGGGAGAAAAAAAGAAACTCAAACATGATAGAAGTTGTGGTGGGTCACTACCACAATGATAGATATTTTTTACCTGTGGAGCAGAACTGATAGGTTCAACACAAAGAGCAGGCAATGTAAAAAAGTTTGTGCAGAAATTAGAATTTACAACTCTACATGCCTAAAAAATCTCAAGCAATTTGTAGAGGGTCTATAAACATGGATGAGCTATGAAGAGATATTTTTCTGGAGTTGAAGAGGGTAGGTGGGGTCAAGCCAAGGGGGTCTTAGGATTCCAAAGTCCGACCGGGGGTTGGGTAGGTAGGTCAGCCTCTGGCTGAGAAAAAAAAAATGGAACCCTCTACAGAATGGTCTAAAAACAGCCTGGAAGGCCATTCCCTGCAGGTTAGCAGTGCTAGTGTGCTCCAAAACATGTAGATCAGTCTGAATTCAATGATATTGAGGCATTAAATAATATTTCTTCAATCTTATCTAATCTCTGCCAAGTGTCAATGCCACAAAACCCATCTGAAGGGGGGAAAATGTAAGCTGGCACAACCAAAGAAATACAGTCACTAAATACCACTTACAAGTTACTGGCAAGTTGTTTTGAAGCTTGTTCTTATGCCTCAATTGCAAAAAACTTGGATAAGCCAGACTTGCCAACATTGAAATATGTTGCATACAATAAAAGTTACAAGTCAACTCACTTATATTCCAGTATCATCCACATTGCATTTGGTAGGAAATAGTTTCACAAAATTGGGTTTGCAAGGCATCTGGGACAAAGTGATCAAAATGATGATGCCATATTACTATATATGGACATGTGCCTGATTACATAGGTAGGTAGGTCAAGCCAGTCAAGGCTTTAAAAAAAATCGACCCTGGGTCTATTTTTTTAATCCTAGGACCCCCTTGGGTCAAGCTCAATATAAAGATGTGAGGTTCAGAGTGATTATATAAGAATTTGTCAGCCTTAGTCATCATTGGCCAGCCTTAGTCATCGCTGTGTCAGCCTTACTCAGCCATCAAAAGGTTAAAATCTTTCTGCCATTCTATATAGACGAGCCTAAGACCTGCGCCTATGGCACGGTGCTCGCTAACGCTCAGCCGTTCCTTCACTGCGGGTCACGGCTTGCCAGGGGCAAGCCCCCTGGACCCCCCAGTACACATCTTGAATCCCAATCCCCATGTACATTCTTAATTCTAATCTTTATATGTTGGTGTAAATGAATGCTCCATCTCCATATACAATAAAATTTTCATCACAGAGAGAAACTTTTTGATGATTAGTTGAATTATTCTAATCTCTGTATGTGCCAAGTCCACAGCCTGTTGGGCTCCAACCCCCACTTCCACATGACCAATAACTTGGCTGCTCCCATGCTGGGGGCAGGCCCTCTAATCCAAGTCTTTTCAAATATTATCTTGCAAATTCAAATCATTAAACAGAGCCTTGAATATTTTTTACATATCTTTTATAAATGGTCCTCCTACTTCTGACTTTACACCCCTTACTACCCTACCCTGCCCCAATGTTTTTCATATTTTTGTACTGCAAACCCATAAGACACCAATATGTACAATAAATATATTTTTAACATGACCCTCCCTACTTCCTCAGCTTCCCCAAAATTCTCTTGAGCCAGATAGTAGAGACTTGTAGTGGTTTTGAAAAATTAGATGATCTCTGCCTGGGTTTTTCATCTCTATGGACTAAATTGACTAAATCTTTACTTATATTTATTGAACTTCCTTGTCCTCTCCCAAATCAGCTGCCTCAGCCCCCATTTACCTGGAGGATTCACAACTCTCCAATTATACATTTTTATTATACATATTAATGTTTAACTGCAGGCCTATTGAGAATATTCAATTATAAGCAACCTCCTGAGTTACAAAAAAAGAAATCTTGGAAATTCCAGCCACATACATCAGTACTTTCGTGTTTTACTTTTTCTACTTGTAGAAGCCGGAAAAAGCCGGAAAAAGCCATCAAAAAGTTGGAAAAAGCAGAAAAGCTGCAAATACAAAAAGCCAGGCTCAGTACCCTGAAAAACCACTATTTTTGAATGCACACAGGTCATCATGGGTTTTAGTTTGATAGATACATTTCCAGCTTTCCAGCTTTTTGACTTGTGGCCAGTCAAAAAGTGGGAAAAAGTAGATAAGTAAATCGTGATCTTGCTGATGTATTCAATTATGTTCACATTTCTGATATGTTAGATGGAATACAATAGATAGCTTTGAGAGGTGCACATGAAGATCCCACATCCTCAATGAAGAGCCGGGGTGCAGGGGTAAAATTCTGGCATAAAACAGCAAACCCATCCAACATACTCAGATATGATGATAACCCTCATTTATAGATGGGATGTTTCAGGAAGCATTCCCAAGTCTCTCTCTGGAGCCTTGCTATGCACAGAAATTAAATATTTTACATGCAAGAGGGGAGAAAAAAAGAAACTCAAACATGATAGAAATTGTGGTGGGTCACCTACCACAACGATAGATATTTTTTACCTGTTGAGCAGGATAGGTTTAACCACAAAGAGCAGGCAATGTAAGAAAGGTTATGCAGAAATTAGAATTTACAACTCTACATGCCTACAAATCTCAAGCAATTCATAGAGGGTCTATAAACATGGATGAGCTACAAAGAAATATTTTCCTGGAGTTGAAAAGGGTAGGTGTGGTCAAGCTCAATATAAAGATGTGAGGTTCAGAGTGATTATATAAGAATTTGTCAGCCTTAGTCATCATCGGTCAGCCTTAGTCATCGCTGTGTCAGCCTTACTCAGCCATCAAAAGGCTAAAAACATTGTGCCATTCTATATTGAAGTCTGTCTAGGAGAGACTAATGCTCACTGTGCCCGAGGCACCTGTCCGTTTACCGTTACTCATCTGGCTGTGAGCAACGCCAGTGAGTACTAGGACTCGGAGAGAAGGACCGCGCCATCCACTTCGGGCATGTGCCCACTTTCAGATTCCCCTCGCGCCCCGCGCCTGCTCACTTTTTTATCCTTTTTCTGAGGCTGGGGTACGCACGTCAGGCCATGTTTTCTATTTCCCTTATTCAAATCTCTAACACACCTCACAGTGTTCACGAAGTACAGATGACGACCATCTCCACCATCTGTTACATCATCTACCAACTACAGAAAGCACCCCACTGCGCTTCCTGCGAGGGAATCGCCTTCGCCGTCATTGGCCTACGTTTGGGGCCTCCCCAAGCCATACCAACCAGTCAACGGTCTCGTCTCATTTCCACTACAACCTCGTCTGGCTTCGTTGGGGCTTCAGCACCGCACCATAGGCACTCTGGTTTTGCCGAGTCCCTTCGTGGGTGTTTGCTTTGGCACAGCTGCGGGAGTAGTGATGACAGCCCTCTACTACGACCATCTCGGAGTCATCTCCGTCATATCTAGCCTCTCTGCAATGCTCGGCATCACTGATTCATTTTGCTCACGGACGCCGCTTACTGCATCAGTCATATGAACATCGTAGTGAGTCAGACCCACAAACTGCTCTTGTTTTCTGCAATGAAACTTCACCTATCAAGCGCTTTGGGCATCCTATGCTTTGAACGTAGGGAAATCGATTTTTGAAGCAAACCTCACAAGTCGTGCTCACTGTCGCTCTTTGACGGCGCAAATGCTCTTGGGCTGTTAAGCCACTGAGAATCATGCTCGAAACACGCCAGAGCAAAGTCGTCGACTGTGCACCTATCTCCATCACCCACAGTGCACTGATCTCGATCAAATCGATCAGTCTATGTATGTATGTCAATGTATTGTGAAATGATAACTAATCTGAGCGCTAAGGAACGGCCATTTGGCATTCACGAAATGAAATCTACTTTGGAGATAGAGCGTACCCCAACTTGCGTCGTGTCATCCATCAAAAACGCGAGCTATGCAAGGATAAGTGCAGATCACTTTTAATGACAAAGTCCTACCCCCTCGGCCTCTTTACAAGATAGTATAAAACACAGTGCTTTTCATCTCGAATTTCTCACGCAAATATTCCTGATCATCCTATGTTTCTCAGCTCTCTCAAAGTCTCTGTCTCCAGCTATGCCGACCTATTCTGGTACCTTGGATCACAGTACGTTCATGGCGTTCTGCTTAGACATTTCAACCCTGACGTTTACTTGATAGGCGTCGCTCAGTCACTCAAAACTCCATAGAGGTGATTAGCCCAGAGCCAACGTGAGTCCACGGCGTCAGATTCAACACTAATAACTCTCATCAATTTCACATCAGTGGTCCGGTCATAGAATCAGCTTCCCGCGGCCGGCCCCCACCAATTATCACTGTCCCAGATCAGTGAGAATTTGCACTTCAACCAGTGGTCAGACACTACTTACAATGATCTAGAGCGAGCAAGACATTGTTTGCTCTCATCATCGGCATTAATAAGTACAAATCCGAGCCTCTGAGGGGGTGTAAGAAGGATGCTAAGGACGTGCGCAACTATCTACTTCAAGACTTGAAAGTTCCCGATTCACATATCCGCTTCCTGACTAACAAGAAAGCCAAGCGCGCCGACATCCTCGACGCGTTCAAGGAAATTCAAACCGACAAGCGTATCAAAAAGAACGACCCGATCTTGATTTACTTTGCAGGACATGGCGACGAAACTGACGCTCCGACTGGCTGGCCTTCTGGAGACGTAAACAATCAGATACAGATGATCATCCCGCAGGACTACTGCATCGATCCTGGAAAGGAGGTACACGGAATCCCCGATCATACTCTCGCAGCGTTACTGAACGGAATAGCGAATCAACATGGGGACAATATAGTAAGAAATTTCTCTTGACCTACCCTTGATATGGATGACACAAATCTCGTTTAGACCGTCATCTTCGACTGCTGCCATTCAGGCTCCGGGACGCGAGGAAGTCGTAACATCCGCGGCCTTAGCGAACGTATGAAACAATCTATACCAAAGGACCTTGACCGTGATATCTGGTCTACCGCCAGCGGGTCCCGTGGATCGAGCACTGCACCAGAATATACCAGAAGCGGATTAGCCAACCACGTCCTCTTGGCAGCATGCACACAAAAAGAAAAAGCGCGTGACGCTGTCAATGGTGGGCCGTTCACCCAAGCCTTCCTTCCTACTCTCAAATCGGTGGGCGCGGATAAACTTACATATGCCTCTCTTCTTGAGAGAATGGACAAGATACCATTGTAAGTCTAACCAACTGAGATATCTCCAAGACTGATGTCGTTTCCACAGCCAAAACCCCCAGTGCGAAGGGGTGAACCAAAATCGCATCATTTTCGACTCCAGAGCACCTACAACAGGACGTGTATGTTTCCCTATCAAGATGAAGGACTCAGAATACGAGATGCAAGCCGGATCTGCACATGGTGTCACAGAGGGATCTGAATTCAGTCTATACAACGACAGTCTCGCCATTGACGACTCATCCTCCCTCTGTGTCTTCGTTGTTGCTTCTGCGGCCGACATTCGCCCATTCACCACAACACTGACCAGACGTGAGCCCAGCGCTGCCGTCACCCCTCTTTCCCCAACTTCTTGCGTTTTGCAAACGAAAGCCGGGGAACCAGAGGATCTTCTAGTGTTTGCTTCGCTCGACGAAAGACTTATCAGATTGTATGAGACTTTGGCGACAATGATGCAGGAGTTACATCCTGGAAAAAGGCAAATTCGGCTTGTCAAAGAGAAGGAAAAGGCGAGACTCGGCCTTTCGATTGTGGACAACAGAATAGCGTTTGACAATTTCGATTCGCGTCTCGCAGAGTACGGCTTGACTCAGACGCGTATGCCTCATACCGTAGCAAACGACCCGAAGGAAATCATTCCGGTCCTTCATGGCGCTGCTCATTTCTGGTGGCATCTTAACCGCGAGGTCAAAAATACTCTCGTCGACACCCACATCGCCATTGAATGCAATATTCTCAAACCCACAGGTGATCACGATATATCGGGAAAGCCAATTTTGAAGGCGACTGGGGACAACCTCTTACAGCCCGACGGTGTCATTGGCGTCGTGGCGTCAGAAGAGACGATGTACGGATATAAAATTACTAACGAAAGCAAGCGCGATCTCTACATCAACGCCTTTTACTTTGACAACACCGACTTTAGCATTCGTAAGTTATGATATTTACTACCACTGGACATCGTTAACCCACCCCCTTCTCCAGAAACATATTACCAATCACCAACAAGCGGTAAATTTGAAACCTATCCCACCCTCACTCAAGGTGGTGGCTCTCTCACCCTCGGCTACGGCTCTGGCGGGGTTAACCCATTCACCTATTGCCTAGAGGAAGGCAGCGACATTGACGTGGGGTATCTAGTATTCTTCATTTCCTCGGAGAACGTCAATCTCTCTACTATCCCACAGGAGACGCCGTTTGAGGGTCCGGGACGCAAGTCTGTGCAAAAGAAGCCCCCTGCACAACTAATTTACGGCACTATCTTGGTGCCCATTGTTCAGCGCCGTTATCCAGACCAAGAAATTGCTGAGCTGAAATCCATCAATGCCAGCGACTCGGAGACGAAAGAGAAAGATGCGTTGGCGAGAACGGATGAACTTGCGCAGGAGTGTGCCCAGCTCCGCGTGACAGTGACAGCACAGAGCAAGAGACTAGCCCACTTGGAGTTGCAACTAAGATTGTTGCAGGAAGCGCAAGAGAAAATGGCATCTGAGCTAATTGGCAAATCTCATGATCATACGTCCAGTTCCACTCCCTCTTCACACAGCAAAGACGGTGCAGATTTAGCATCTAAGGATGAAAAGTCCACGAAAAGCACGGGTCCTGACTACGGTGCGCCCCATCCCGAAAGCTCGACTCCTGGCTTCAATGACCTAACCCATTCACGCAGTATACTACCGTCTATACACCAAACTAGGCGCATTCGAATCAAAACACCCTCTCTACAAGAACGACCGTTTCATTGGTCGTATTCCAACGAAGTCCTTTTCCCCTCCTTATACCGTGGCATCTATCAAGCTGTCCCTGTGCGAACTTGAGGGCCTTTCGGAGCCCGACAAGGCACGTCTCTTTACACCGCTCTCCAGCTCAGCACCCAAAGACGACTCTGCCCGCCTCTCTTTGGAGGGTCCTTCAGGGCCAGGCCTGTCCGAACAGGATCCGATCGCGTTGGTTGTCGAGTCCGAAATGAGGACCGAGGAGGCCGCCGCGCAGTTAGAGAAGCTGCCGGAACGCTCTGATAATACCGAGATCAATTACGGCAAGTCTTGTCGATGTCTTTTACTCACATAGTGCACTCATCAGCTCAACAGTATACTATCGCGTTTACTTATCAGGTGGAAAAGGAGATGAAAAGGCAAAGACGTCCTTTGACAAGAGTGATATCTCGTTAGGACGCATCAACACCCTCTTCATCGCTCCCCCTCACACCGCTGGATCTTTGAAAGCATGCATCGCAAAATTTGAAGGCCTCCGAGTCACGCAGGGTCATGCGCTCTACAAGGATAAGGATATACTCATGAGTGACACCGACGTCATATCCTTCCAAAATAAAACTTATCCAGGTAGTGATGAAGGCAATCCTGTTGCCCTTGCGACCGATTCGAAATTCACGAAACGTGGTCAGTTAACTTCGACTTACAGTGAGTAACATTTCATGAGATAATGCAATTCTCAGCCTTTCCCACCACAGACTACAAAGCATTATTTTCTCCCACCTGGCTATCAACAAACAAAGATGAGATCGTTCACACAGACGGAGTTATCGTCACTGACGGTACTCATTTCTCTCCTTTTCTACCACTTTGTCAACCGTCTGAAGTTGATGCTTCAAGTTGTTGGAAGAATGTCTTACCCAGTATACATGGTGATTAATTCAAAGGGTGAAAAAGGCTGTGAGTCTCTAATTTGCATTTGGGTTACTAGGTCGTCATTGATTTTTTTTTTGGCAGTTGTACATCAGGGTGAGTGGTCTCCTCCCTCTGTCGGAGTAAAATTTGGTATTCATCGTTTTGCTAGCTAAAGTTAAGTTACTTTGATTGATCGCTCAATATCAGAAAGTGTCGGGAGGATGCGTCAGAACTCAAGTAGGCTGTACTAGATCTGTTAACATGTATCACTAGTAGCGACGATTCACTGATTATGAAGAACGGCATCGATATCGCAATACCGACGGTTGACGCTTTCAAATGTTCAGTCCTACTCAAACGAGTGTACGACATACACAAACAAAACCCAAAATGTTGCTACCTTCCTGTACTGACCCTGTCGGCGGCGAAGGGAAGACGATCCCCCTCAACCTTTTTGGGACGGCGACAATTCTCTATACCCGCCGCACCTCGTAGTAGTCGGGAATGGATGACTCTCACATCTGCCCAAGTCAACAGCCTCTCTCACGACCCCCAATGACCGTGACATAGCTCTATCGCGCTGGTAACCTACATACGCCCATTTTCCGCCTTTCACCCAAAGTCCTTCACACAACGAAACACTAGGACGGATACGATCCAGAAAAGACTATAAGACTTGCGTCTCTAGTTTGCCATCACTGGCGAACCGTCGCCCTTGGCCAGGCCGTCCTTTGGAGTCGTGTTGTAAAAAAATTTCGTTTCATCTTCAAGGAGGGTATGGGGCATTGTTCATAGATGTTAGGGATAGAGAGAGGCTAGTGACGCCTCATAGCTCCAGCAGGTTTACTGAACATGCTTCGAGGATCAGGAGTTTGTTCATATCCCTCCCCAGTTGGGGTTCGTTTGATGAGTACTGGCAGGAACCCATGCCAGGGCCCAGTGTTGGAGGTCATGCCGTGGCATCCTTGGCTTGAGACTAGGATGGACACAACGACGTTCAAAATTCTCCCCAAAACACTCTTCAAGGGTGATGCAGCACACTTGCTAAAGTTCGGCCCGGCGGTATGAAAGGACTCTGCACCGTCGATTTTACCCTTCCCATTTTCAGGAAACTTATCAAACTCCATGCGCTCAATATCAACTCGAACGCGATTAAGCTGTCAAAGGACAGGGTTCGTACCCGATCTGACGACACTGCTTAGTGCCATCAGCAGAGAGCTTTCTCGTTAGTTGCTACCTGGCCTTTATTCATCCTTCTGCGAAATGCGGTTTGGATCCGCAATGAACGCCGTGTCGGAACAGGTATCCCGACGCAGATTTCCTAAGGCCTGTCATACCTCCTTTTGCGCCCAACTTTTACAGCAAATCATACTCTTCCTGGACATCCGTCTCCCACATATGCAAGCTCAACACTTCAATCCATGCTTCACACATTCTTCCATTCCGTGCCTCACATCACAATGCTTTCGATGCACGGAACGACTTCACTCTTTGTCTTTCCGGCTTTGCCGAGGATACGGGTTAGGCGAAACCACAGAGCCTCTGAGCCCATACTGCTGAAGCTTCGTGACTCGGAACCGTCATTCATTTGTACTAACTTCCATGATCTGCAGGGGTCTGACTGTATCACTGCATTCCTAAACCATCGCTGAGATCAAGCTCGTTACATTGGTCCAAAGTACGATATCGACCGACAGAGTAGCGAATATACAGGCGGACTTTATGTCGACTCTGACGGACTCTGAACTCCGCCTTCTCAACTGTTCTTGATGTTCGACCGTGGACATTAGCGCGGTTGCGGTTCCTCGGCGTACGGCTCGTCCAGTCTTGAGGCTGCTGCGTTCAGTGAACCAGAGGTCGATTAGGGCACAAAGGACAATGGAATGGCAGTGGAATCGAATATATAAGTTGGTCTATGATATTTCTTCGAGCTTTGATCAATTTGTCTGCTTGGAACACCATGATCATATACATCAAAAGACTGTCTGATGAATAAATTAAAGAATAAACTGCAACAGGCATGTATAGTACGAGCAAGGATGTCTGCCAAGATGGAAAAGTGACACACACATATACAGATACCTACCACAACACATATATAGTACGTAGACGGAAAGAAAGAGATCATAACTAAAAAAGAGAGTCATTTGGTAGAAAGTTTAGCGGAGGCCAAAAAAAAAATAAAGTGGTATCATGGAGAGGGAGATGTGAAGAGGAGTGAGGGGGGAGCGGTCGAGGAGGGGGTAAGTGTGGTGAGGAGGGCGGAGGAGGGGTAATAAATATCCAATGTGAGGTCGAATATCTAAGATATTTCGGGAGGGTAGAGTAGGTTGCACAGATGGGGGGCAAGGAAAATCGTAAGCTGGCTCGTGAGGACAAAATAACACAGAAACCCGGGGAGAGAGAGAAGCCGAGCACGAAGAGCATCTGATTTATCCAGCCTGGCCCCCAGAGAAAAGAAGAGAACTTTTGACAGGGAAAAGAAAAATGGCAGACGGAAGAAAGCCACATGCATCTCTTCGGCTCCGTGCGCAATTCTGATATCGATCGCGACATTTTTTACATACCCCCATAGGCGTCGTGGTGCGCATTGTGAGAACCCGACGCAGGAGCGTGGCCGTCGGCGTATGCGCTGGCAGCAGCATAGTCATACCCGGCATACCCTTGGTGTTGTTGGGGTTCATAGGCATAGCTGTTGGCGACATATCCCTGTTGGCCTTGGTACTCCCTAGTAGCTTCTTGATAACCAGCTTGGGATTCATAAGCAGCGTATGAGCCGTAAGCCTCAGGATTGTAAGGCTGCTGGATTTCGGGCTGAGCGCTGTATGCACCATGGGCAACTTCGCTGCCTTCATCGTCCAGGGCAGGTTCTGAGTTATGAACGGGTTCCTGGCCATAGACATATCGCGGGCGTTCCTGGAGAATAACAGGGGTAGAGGCAGCAGCAGCTGTCACTCCGCCCCTGAAAGCACCTTGTCCAGCCATACCTGGACCACCGCTGCTGACAGAGGGTGCAGCAGTGGTATGTCCGCGTTGAGCCATGCTAGGAGGGGTATCGGTGACGAAGGCAGATTGGCGGAAGTCCGTGACGAAGTCCTCGTCTTCCAGAGCACGCTTACGCATGCGACGCTAATGACGTAAAGTGCACTGGATGAGAAAGATGAAGGGGACTAGAATGATTTACGTACCAGGAAGAATGCAATAATCATGCCAAGAACAGCTATGCCAAGAAGTCCACCTGCAACGCTGCCAACAATAGCGCCCGTGCCCAAACCACCAGTTTTATCTGTCGGGATCGCACTAGCTGTTATAGTTGTCCCCGGAGAGTTGGGATTACTGGGAGAAACATTGGCGAATGAGCTGGCTTGAACCAAGCCTGGGCCTGTAGTAACCCCGGTTGCCGTGAACTAAAAATATGATCAGACTTGGAAAAAAGGCTGAACATCAAAACAACCTCACCGATTTAAGAGTGACACTAGTTGACGTAGTTGAGACGGTGGAAGATTTAGAGGTCGTCGAAGAAGTAGAAGTGGTGGTGGGTGTTTGGGAGGTTGAAGTAGTCGTTACGGTTTTGGACGTTTGGGTAGTGGAAGTAGTAGTTTGCTGAGCCGCGCTTGTAGACTTCTGAGTTGTAGTCGTGGAGACAGGAGGGTCAGAGGACGCTACAGTCAGGCATATTGAGCGGCAGAATATACGACAAAAAAGAGAACACTCACTTGCGGCCGCTCGCGATTCCGACGTTGTAGCAGACGTTGCAGCAGCAGATCCGCCGCCTCCGTTCCCATTTCCGCCACCATTCCCATTTCCGCCGTTAGTACCATTATTACCGGCTTGACGAGCTTTGAGCATGCGATGGACAAGGTTGTGGTTGTTAAGAGTCATCGTGAATTTGAATTGGAAAGGTTAATTTTTAGTGCAAAGAGGGTGATTATAAAAGAATGTGAGTGTTCGCCTTGAAGGTGAATCCTGCGGACGTCGGGAGTTAGCAGCTGCTCGCTGTTGACGGCGACGTGAGAGAGGGCGAAGAGCAGGAAGAATTGAACAAAGCCAGACAAAGCCCAATAATATTCGTGGGTATGAAGTCATATGACCTCGTTGCTAGGGCCGCTCCTCGAATTTTGATTTCTCCATCAAGCTTCATGATCAGAATGGCAAGTAGGATATCAAGTTCATCTAAATAAAATGCTAACTTGTTCCCTTTGGACTCCTTTACTTAATACCACACACTTGACAGATCCTGGATATTTCATCAGGCGGCGCCAGTTCTTGTATCAGCATGGCGGTTTGCTATTCAACTCCAACCTTATTCTGACCACTTTTCCTTAAACAACCGCAAGAACTCGCATAAATGAGGCCTACCGACATCGGAAGGGACCTGGCGTGAAGCAATCTCATCATGGCCTTAACTCCAGCACTCGTTGACAGAAAACTGAATATGTAAGTACATACATTACATTATCTCGATACCTCAGTGGTACACTTCCCTCATGATCATAATAAAAAAAATTACATAGGTCCTACTTCAATTGGATCACCAGCCTTGAACATCACAAGCTCTCCTGTTGTAACGCTGACCTCCTCACAATCATAACATCATGGCTGAGGCAACCGTCAGCTCCACACTCAACAGAACTCTCAATCGACATGCTTACAGGATCCGGACGCGACCGCATCTTCCCCTTGCGGTCCGCCAATGCTATTTTCGCTGCTGCTAGCATTCTCAAAATCCAAGGCGTCAATAGCGGCATTCCGCCTGGAAATCAGAGATTCTTCCGACTCTGGCCCATCCCCGCGCTGCCCCGCCAAAGCTTCACTATTCCTTGAAGTTATTGTCCTCGTGGAGGCCCTATCATCAGCCGCAGTCCTCCTTGAAGCACCAGTAGTGCTCTCCTCGTCCTCCTCGTAGATCACCGTAATTGCCGGTGGTGGGGTAGACGGCCGCGTATAAGGCGGCGGGGGAGTTGATGCACTGATGGCATACTCTCCGTCGTCGAATTCCCGGTTGTTACGACGGTGGTATTGTCCCCTCCTCGCGGTCCTATGCCTCCTGCGGGCGTGTGACGTCGATGGTTCAGTTATTGGCTGGCCTGACGTCGCTTCTCCAGCAGTTCGACGACGCTCCGCGCGTCCTTTGCGTTTTTTGTCGATAGTTTTATACAACCCCCGCCCAACTAGAATAGTAAGGGCTACGGCCATCATCGTGGAGAAAATGTGGAGGTAGTGAAAGGCATCTGTCCACTTTGAACTGCACTGCATGCATACGTAGTCGCAGCTCAATTTAAACACGGAGGTTTCACAATTTTCGCAATGTAATAGTGTACATGATAAACATTAGGAAATCAGATTACGAGCTTCATAGATAGATAGTTAACGAATGTGCTGTTGAAGGAATTGTAAGAAGAAGAATAAACCGCCCAAGGGTTATGATTCGGGTGGAGGTTGGCTATCAGCCATCTTCCGCCTCTGCTCTCCGACTTTCCAGATGACGTCCTTGAGCTCTTGCACCACCTCGCCACCAGGACCCCATTTCTCAATCCCACGTTTTTCTGCCGCGCAGAGATCAGTTGAGAAACCCAAGCCAATTCCCCCCCCTCCGCTCTCCCTCCTCGCCTTTGCAATTTTGATTCTCTCTTCCCTTGTCAACTTCGACCGCTCCCGCGAGAAAACTACCCCAGCCCCCGTATCAGCTTCGAACACTTGCTCGACACCAGGTAGGGGTAGATGTTGAGTCGAAGTTCCAAGTAGAAGGTGTTGTGTCGCATCGTCCAAGGCCGGTTCTCCAGAATCTGGATTAACCACCGTAAGCCCTGCGTTAGGAACAGGATCGCCCTCGTCCTCTGAAGGAGATGCAAGATCTTGCTTATCCGAATCATCGCTTATATCGTGGCCAAGCCCCGGAACACCGTCCGAATCATCGCCTTCGTCACTGGGAATGGGAGGATTGACAAGATCAAGAAGCTTTCCTCGGCCTCTTTCACATTCCCGAAGGGCCAGTCCGAGCTCACGTCGAAGACGCTCATAGGCTTGCAATGCAGGAGGTTCCTCAACGGGGGAGTCTTCCACCAGTTGATTCAACGATCTTGAGTGCCGCAATGATCTTGTACTTGGAGCAGAGGTTGGATCTTCCTTCAGAGCAGCAACGCACTGCTCAAGATGCTCTCGAGCGTCATCCAGCGCAGAGCTGATCGCAGCAACGTGAGCCGCAAACCGAGATATGTGACTGGGCATTGGAGCGAAGGAAATACTCTCTTCTGACCGCCTTGGTTTGGCGTTCTGCACCTCACCAATGGACCCAGTTCGACCATGTTCAGCATCAATCTCGAAGCTTGACTCAGGCCCCGGGGTCGGGTTCTGTTCTCTCAACATCTCCGACTCCAACTCCTCAAGCGCTTCAGACAACCGAAGGGAAGCATCCGCAAAAGTGCTCGTCAGCAACCCCATGACACTCCGAACGTCTTCCCAGTATCCTTCATCCTCATCACCCGAGAATCTCAATGCCAGTAAGTGTGAACAAGCGAAGCGTTTTGAAGCCAATGCTCCCTGAAGAGCATTGTGCAACGCTGACAAGGACAATGGGTGTCGAGTTGACTGGAGCGTCGTGAACCGTGATCCAGAAGATGTCGATGAGGACAGTCTTTTACTGCGGGGGCTTTGTAGGTCTGAGGTGAAGTAGCTTTCTGGCGGCATCTGGAAGGCCTCCATGCCCCCACTGCGATTTTTCCGTTGAAGGTCCAAAGCAGCTGCGCCAAAAGGCCTCGTTTCTTTAGAAGAACGAGTAGAATTGTTGTCTTCTTCATCAACGCCGTCATCCTCAGTCACTTTAGCGAGCTTGCGTCCAGGACTAGACGGAATAGGCGTCACTGGTGCGCTTACTGAGCTTGATTGAAATATAGCTGATAAATTGGACCGGTGCTTCTCTCGTCTTCTGAACACGTTGTTCGTTGGGCTGCCGGCAAATGCCAGGCTAGAGTAAGAGCCATTCCAAGTTGACCTCTTATTCTCAACCGGTGTTGGAACCGAGTTTACTCGGTGTCGTGATGGGAACGAGAAGGGGCGAGAACTGGAATCGAAAAGGGAGGAAGAGGATCTGACTGGCGATGGGGGAGCGTACATCTCCGAGAGTTGCGAGAGCTCGGACGGGGATGTTAAGGCGGAAAAGAGTTGTCGAATATTGTCGCACTGGGTGTGTGTAGTTTGAAGAGTTGAATGGAGGGCAACGCGAACAGATGATGAAGATAAAGAGGGGGTGGCTGGATTGTAAAGAGTAGTTCTTGCAGAATCATCAGATAACACTTCCGATATGAAGGATTTGGGGCACACCTCTGCTCTTCAGTCTCCAGAGCACTGACTGCTTCTCGAACGATAAATTCCCACACATTGTTGGCTGCCAGTAAATCGTTGAGAGCTTCTAAGGACTAGAATAGATGTCAGATATGGGATATGGAGAACAAAAGAAAAGATGAACGCACAGGGGTCATGTCGTCCTTGGGCGTTTCTGTCATAACAATAAAATTGTACATAAGAATAAGAGTAACAATTAAGGAAATGAAAGCAAGAAATGGGTATCCTGCGCTGAATGAGGCGGCGAATGAGAGTGCTGAGAGCGATATTATGCCATAGTGAGGTTCTGAGGGGGCGACATAGGTTGAGTTGTCGGGCTTATCACTCCCGGTGCTGGACGTTCTACTGTGACTGAGTCTTCCCGGTATTGAGACCGATATTGATCTTCTCTTCGGAGACTGTGGTGATGGAAGGGAAGAAGCGAGCAGGGAGGAAGAAATGACATTATATTTGAAGTGTTCGACGGCAGGATTCGGAGAATTTGACGGTTGCGTCGAAGATATCGCGTTCTGGAGTATCTGCGAAAAAATCAAGTGCAATTAAGTGAGCACTGTGGGTCCCAATATGATTGTAGGTAGCACCGTTGGGCGAGACTTTTAGACATATCGAGCAGCAAGAATATCTCACCTCAACAATATTCAACACAACACGCGGACACCACTCCATATCCTCGTTTCCTTCCTCATCCTCCGCTAAGTTTGCGTACAAGTCGCGCATGGTGTCAAGTTCTAGTTCAAGTTCGGATGAGATGCCAGGCATCAACTCTGAAGTCTCTCCAGCCTCTACATCGTGCGATATTAGCAACAAACCGAGTTTCGTAAGAGCAATAACTCGCCTCGCAGGTATCTCTCCAAAGGGTGTTCGTCAAACAATGCTTGAGCCATAGCATGTGCGAAGGGGGTTCCCGTAGTTAGTTGGCGCGCCAAAGTCGTAATATATGGTCGTGAAGAGTCCCGAATATTAGAGGAAACAATAGATGAAGTGTGAGAGAGGACTTGAAGAGGAAACAACGGTGACAATAATATCAGACCCGTGGAAAACATTAAAAAAGTTATTTGCATTACGTAACATACCACAACTGATACCACACAACTCCATCTCAGTAGCTCATTGTCGTCGGTGTCGTGGTCGTCGTCAGTAACGGCAGAATCGCTGAACCCCGCCGTATAAAAGAGGCGGATTTTTCCCGCATCATGGAATTTATTCGTGACTCATTTGACGGTTATCTGCTAGGTTTCCGGTTTCATTTGATGTTGCCATGGGCAAGGCACGAGGGCAGTCGCTTCCACGTTGCGACACGCTGAAGCCACGGGAATGAAATATGAAAACAGGATGGGAAGGAAGGAACCGGTTTTCATATCGGATGCACTTGTGAATTATTATTTTTTGGAATTTAGATCCTGGAGGATGCATATCACATGCGTTCACCTCGACCAGAGGCCACTAGGGATGTCCATCTTGGTTGAGCGGATCATGACGCAGACTGAATACTCCGCAAATGGATTGTCAAAGATGCGACGCCGTCAGTTCATCAGAACTATGCTCAAAAAAACTAAGGTGTGTCTGACTTGTAGTCCTGTTGTACTAAGAACGCAGAGGACGTCTCCAAAATGGTTGAATCGAACTGTATGAATGAATCTCTCGATCTGGAATCACGGAGAGGCAGTCTTTGCGAGCGTTACCGAGGAGGATGCGATAAAAACGGGCCTGACGCGGCAATATCCCGCAGATAAAGTAATTTTGAATGGCACCTGAACAATCGCGTTAAATGTATGTATTAAGGATACCGAGGTGCGTCAAATCTTACCGGGGCCCTATTTAACATTATGATCTAGAGCTATGACTTTGCCACGACCAAAGGCTACGAGGATAACCATCTTGGCCGAGCAGACATAACGCACACTGAATACTCCGGAAATGGATTGTCGAAGATGCGATGCCGTCAGTCCATCAGAACTATGCTCAAAGGAATCTAGTAGGTGTGTTCCTGTTGCACTAGAACGCAGAGAACAAGATGGTCGAATCGAATTGAATAAACGAGTTTGTCGATCTGGAATTCAGTACGGAGATTCAGTCGTAGCGAGCGTCAGCATGGAGGATGGAGAAAAACGGTCCGGACGCAGCAACATCCTGCAACGGATAGAATGACGTCTAGATAACCGGGTGGATGGATTAAGGATACCGAGGTGCGTCAAACTTTTGCTGGATTCCTATGTGACATCATGATTTTTAGAGTTATGTCACGGTATGACTTTGTGCTTAGTACGTTAACTGCCATAATTCTTGAAAGGCATGATTCAATGTACGAACATAATTTTGGAAGCTGCATGCCAAAGGATGAACATGTCTTCAAACTAACAACAAAATGGGCATCCATCTAAAATCTTATCAATTGCGACCCTATTTCACGTTCATGATTTGTTCATGATAAGGATCGTTGTGGACAGGTTATGGACACGCAAGGACCAATCGGTTCCTGATCAGTGGACACTTGAGATAGGAGGTGCTCTAGGGTGCTCTTCGAAGGGAAGTTTAACCCATATGTGCATGAATTTGCTAGAACTCAGGTTCTTTCAATTGTTGTATAGGATGTCCACAAAACGGCGGCTTTTAGGACCATCTGACAATGATGAATCGAGCTCATACTCATTCAAATAAAAGACCTGGCCTATAGGTGTACACTCTACATTTATAACGCGCCTATAATTGAACGACCAAGGAAGATTCCGCGAGCTACTGGCGCAGTGGTTGACATCGCCGCCAAAAAATGAATAGAAATAAATAAGCGCGAGGCACGCCTCTACGGACGGAAAGCTCGGGGTACATGAACAATAACGGGGTTGCACCCACACTCAAAAGCGAGGCGACCATAATGAGTCAAGATCGGATTTTGCGCACGAGAACATTTACTGCCAATAGCAAGGCCAATAGAGTCCTATGAAGTTGTGTGTCCAAAGGAAAGCTCCTCAGAGGGATGCAAGAGGGATGGACCCACCCATACAGCGGACAAAGCTTCCAAGGAAGTACGTCATGCACAACCCTTCCATGAGGTGCAAAACATGATCGAGCTGAGATTCACATTTCTCCATTTCATGCAATGTAATTACCGACGGCAGCCACTGTCACTCCCATTTTACGAAGTTGTGCAGTTCAATCCCTGAATCAGCAGGCCTCACTGCGGATGTTGAAAAGACGAGAGCGCAGGGACCCATACGGCGTAGCTGTGATGTTGTTTCGCATTTCCCTTGTTCCCTCCTTAAGAGGCGGGCGCACAATTGCGTATATGGCTGGTTTTGGCGGGCACATTCCACCAGGACTTGTTTTGTTGTGTTGTAAGTGGTGTGCTGATGGCTTTGATGCCAAGCTTCCGGCGATTTCATGCAAAGCCGAAATGGTCTCGTCACGCTCACCAATCGCGGGACGTTCAGGCGCTACTGCTTTCAAAAAATTTCACGGGTCGAAAACATTAGCCTAGTCTTTCAATGGAAGTTTGGCACCGAAGATTCAAGCGGCCCGCCATTTTCGTAATATTGGACCTCAAATTTGCCTCAAATGTAGCTGAAATCCCTGCAGCTTTGGAATATCTATGGTATCTGTGGTGTACATCCCATTTTATCTTATCCATTTATGTAGCACCCCTGGATCGACACACTTTTAGAGCCATGAGGTTTCGGAACGTATCTATCGAATCCCTCAACTTCAAATGGATCGTTTGGACCTTGAGGCGATTCAGAGATGGTACAAAGAGTGTTGCTGCAAGATGATCTTCCCCGTTGATTCCACCAACTCTCTACACCATGTTGAACTCTTATTGGAACGTCGCTGCGTCGGTGGGCTGCGCCTCTTTGCTAGCTCTCACCATTCAAATGGTCAGACGCTTGTTGTTCCACCCTCTCTCCAAGTACCCCGGACCTCCTCTTGCCGCGGTTACCTCATTATATAGAGCATATTTTGACATCGTCATGGATGGTGGCTGGGCCGAACACCTGGAATACCTTCACCAGGTTTACGGTGAGTAGGGCAAAGATATTGTCGACCCTCCACAAGCTCACAGCCTACCAGGAAGTTGCATCTTGAGGGTTGCCCCTAATGAGGTATGCACTTCTGCTGCGTCAGGTGCGCTTGATGCCGACGGCCCTGCCGTAGCTTCACTTCAGTGATCCCCGCGCATACAACGAAATATACGGGATGGGAACAAAATACATGAAACAACCCGCCTTATATTCCTGTTTCGCGACCGATCGTTCGGTCTTTGCAATGTTCGACCATCATGAAGCCACTCAACGAAGAAATCTGATCGGTCCTTTCTTTTCTCGACGTTCAATTTTAAATCTGGAGAACGCTGTACAGTCAAAAGTATGTCTAGTTTATTCCATCTTCATCGCGCTGATCGCTGAGTTTTTGTGTTTGTCTCTACCAGATTGATTTACTCATTACTCGATTGCTGGAATACCAGCACTTGAAGAAATCTGCGAATATCGACTTAGCGTTCCGTTCGACTAGTCTCGAAATTATTACTTCCTATTGCTTTGGCCAATCCTCTAATGCATTAGATTCTTGTGACTTCCAGAACGGCATCCTCACCGCTATGGATCAAACACTACCTATGATCTGGGTCTTCAAACATTTCCCGCTTATCAAACATCTGCTCTTAGGAGTTCCCGAATCATTCGCATCTGTCTTGAAGCCTAGTACAACAGGTATCTTGGAGCAAAGGAGACAGATGGGTGCCCAGATCGACGCCATCCTCAAAGATCCTTCCTCATTAAAACATGCCGATCACGAAACCATCTACCATTACTTCCTAACGCCACAACCTGAAAACCAGCGTCTACCACCAATTACCCGGGAGTGGCTTCTCGACGAAGGTCTCTACATGCGCTTTGCTGGAAGTGATACTGTCGGCAACACCTGCACTGTCGCCACCTATCATATTCTCGCCAACAAGGACGTTCGAGATCGTCTCGCTCAGGAAGTCAAGGAGGCATGGCCAGAGAGAGACGCGCCTGCGAGCTATGAGACACTAGAGAGGTTACCATACCTGGTAAGCCACCAGACCCATGAAGCGTCACTGATTGCCTGATGTATTGTTTCTACCCAGACCGCCGTCATCAAGGAGTCCTTGCGCATGGCGAATGGGATAGTTACGCCCCTTCCTAGAATTGTAGGGCCCACAGACGTCGAGATCGCAGGAGCCGTGATCCCTGCCGGGGTGAGTACCATAGTTACATACCCCCTTGCAGGGATGCTAATTCACAAAATTCGTAGACGGTCGTTTCTCAGGGAGCGACAATCGTGCACCGCAATCCAGAAATATTTCCCGAACCAACCGTCTTCGATCCGGAGAGATGGTTACAAGAAGGCTCCCAGGATCTAGACAAGTATCTCGTTTCTTTCTCGAAGGGGCCGCGAAGTTGTTTGGGTATCAAGTCAGTCAATTCTATTTTTAACCGCGTCTATTTTGGCTGATTTCATGTCGTCAGCCTCGCCTGGTGCGAGTTGTACCTTATCATTGGCACCATCTTCCGTAAGTTGGACTTGACTCCCGACAATGCGGCGTGAGTTTCCCTTTGAATTTTTAATATATAATAAGCTTACAGCGCTCCTCTAGAATTGAAAATATCAGTTTCCGGGAGTATTTCGTACCCGTCCACAGAGGCAGGCACTTCCACGCCTTCGTCAAGCCGACAGCCGATTGAGCGGCCGCGCTCGCCGCTCTGGTCGATTCATATAAATTCAATTTCTCATTCTTCCAATACATTTCGGATAGTAGTACTTCCGCAAACACTCCCCGCACCACATACTAGACTTCCGAATGCCCGCAAGTTGATCTGTCACGCATGTCGCTCGCCCAGGTTTAAGCGGGCCAATTGTATATATGTCATAACCATGTAGTATCTTTTACCTCTCATTGTCCTCACAAACACGACATTTACACTCCAAAAATTTCTGGTTTCACGATAAGCAGTAAGAGGCCCTCAAGGCAGGACCTGGTCCTCTAGTGTTGGGCCATGTCCGGCGACTGATGGGCAACACTATGTCTGGTTCAACATTTCTTCTTCGAGGTCTATCTTTGAATATCAAACCCTGCCCAAACCCTGTTGAATATGTACATTTGACTCCGTCCCTGGCCTGTCGATTCCTGCTCTCAGTACCCTGGCTCTACTCAATATTTCAATAGGTTTCAGGTGGGTTGTGGATAGAGATTCAGAAGGCTTGGGAGAAGGGCTCATCGATCAATCAGGGCACCGGCTGGCACCGGATGTATACTTGCCATCAAACGGAACGAAAAAGGTATGGTCGCGGGGTTGGAAACCGCCCACGTGATACATTCAGAGCAGACGCCCAGAGGGTAAGAAACGCTCGAAGTTCCAATGAAGCCAAGTTCGTAGGTTTCATATGTGAAAATTCGGGAAAGCCGCTATGTCACTAATTGTTAACTGCTTTTGAACTGGGTAGAATTTTCCTTTGAGCCATCATCAGATGACAGACCTTCGCTGAAATTCGCCTTTTTTAGAAGTTGTCCATGGTCGCGACTTTCCTCCCTCAAGGCACAACAAAAAAATCAAACCCCATGATGTCTTTTCTTTTTCAAATTTTCGCTCACGTAGTTGACCGAAGATAGCGGCCACGGCCCACACCTCGACCACATTTGTGTCATCTGCACATGGCAGGTCCAGGAACACGAAAAATCTAGGCTGTAAGTGAACAGTGTGGTCCACATCAGAAATTTTGCAACGAGAAAGCGCGAGTTACAGGGAAATTAATTTCCGACGTTCCGAGTCCATTGTTCCCTGGTGAATACCTGAAATTAATATTTCCAGCATCGTCAACGTAAGAAACCATTACGCACTCTATCTATAATCTAGAACCTGAACAAGACCTTACGTATTGATGCACAAGAAAGACCTTCCACGGTATGCGTCACTCACGAGTCTATAGAGCTTCTCAACACCAGGGTTTTCTCCATCCAGAGTACTTTGATTCGAGTAAGGGTTGTTACAAGTGAGCAATGCAAGAATTATGTAAGGAAAAAAAGAGGAAGTAAGCAATAAATTTAAAAAAGTAACAACGGCAAGGGTGAAGACGCAGAGAGATGAGGGAACCAAATTTACTCGACAGAGGCAGCAGAGACAAGCAAAAAAAAATAGCGCGCAAGAGAAGATAGCGAATAGGAATAGAGCAAGGGGTCGGGTCGAGTCGTATAAGGGGGAGGAGGGAGGAGTCGCGCAGAGGGGGGTGAGTAATCTAGTGCAAAGAATACAAATGCCAAAGAAGCGACTGCGTATGCACCCTTTTGTCGAATAAATAAAAATGGGCCCGATGTCAATGAAGCGTGCGAGGTTCCAAGGGGGGATGCCAGCTTGTCAAACGCGCCTCTGCGAGTCTGGGACGAGAAGCCGGTGCCAGGAAGCGGAGGAGCGCATAGAGAAGGTGAAAATGGAAGAGAAGAGCCGGAAGTCGGACGGACGCGAGAAGCGGGAAAAGGGAAGGAAGGATAAACGAAACCAGCAAGGACGACAAAGATTATGATCATACAACATGCCTTTTTATCCAACAAATACCAAGAACAACGGCATCCACCACCTATCCACACATCTGCCCTTGCCCTCCTCCCCCTCTATTTTATAGAATCCATCGGCAAGACGTTCGTCAATTCATCCGGGTGGCTCAACCATTCCCCAAGATTGAAGTCCCCCTCTGATCCTCGAGGAAACATGTTAGGAAAGTCAAACTCGTCCATCCCTCCGAAATCTGTCACGAACGAGCCGAGGTCAGGCATCAAATTCCCCATGGGGCCTCCACCCATCGAGGACGGAGACGGCTCGGCCATGTTCCCACCCACGAGCATAGGTGGCGGATTTCCATTTCCACCAGGTTGACCACCCGGAACGGGCGTCGGTGCACCTCCAGGACCACCAGGGTTGTTAGCTGGCATCGGTTGATTCCGTGGAGATCCATCTGTAATCTGTCCTGGCCCGCCATTCGGTTTATTACCGCCATTCCCATCCTTCCCACCAGGTTGGCCGTCTTTTGGAGGCCCGTTCGCTGGAGAGCGAGGCGGAAGCATTCCCATGTTGACGCCTCCAGAACCACCAGGTTTGTTAGGGCCCATCCGGCTACCTGGAGGAGCGATACCTGGGTTGAATTGTGGTCCAGGACCGCCAGGAGGGCCTCCACCAGGGTTAAACGACGTTGGATCCCCAGTAGGAGAACCGGGCCCTCCAACGCCCATATTGAGTGGAGGGCCACCTTGCTGTGGTGGAACTTTATGGATGTTATGCAGTGATTGTTGGTATTGGTGGTTCCTTGCCTGGTTCATTTGATTCATTTGAGCATACTACAAAAGAGAAGAAACCATCAGCATCAATACGCATAAGATGAGACGAAAGAAGAGAAAGAAACATTGACAACATCAAGCCAAAAACAAGGACGAAAATACGAACCTGATGATGAATCTGCTGGTTGATCATCCCCTGCCCCACCATCTGCATCGGGTTCCCTCCCATCTGCGGTCCCATCCCAACCATACTCATCATCTGGTTCCCACTCATCGGCCCACCCTGATGTGGAGGCATCCCGCCATTCATACCCCCAGGCCTCCCCAACATCCCCATCGGAGGCGGAAGAGACTGTGGTGGCGGTGGAGGCCCTCCACCTGGCTGGCCGCCTTGTTGTGGGTGGTGTTGTTGTGGTGGGTAAAGAGGGTTGATGTTATTCTGTTGCGGTTGTTGTTGTTGTTGTTGTGGATGCTGCTGTTGTTGTTGCTGGTCCATTGGACTCTTCCGTGCGCGTTTCCTTTCTGGTGGGGAGCTCTCGTTTCGAGGTAATGTTTCGTGCTGTGTCAAAAAACGAAGATCAGCCTCAGGAAGGAAGGATGGAGAGAAAGAAGGCAAGATATGCGTTACCTCTTCTCCAGGAGACGTACTAGGCCGCTTTCCTCCTCGCTGCCCACCAGGTTGCGGAGGTCCACGTCCTCCAGGTTGTTGTTGATTCCGTTGCTGTTGCTGCATAACGTTCGACGGTCCAGCGGCAGCGTTATCCGATGCACCCCCAGGTTTCTGCTGATTCCGAGGTCCTTGTCCTGTACGTAGTCGATATACATCCAATATACGTTGCTATCGTCCAATCAGTACGATGGAAAATGAAGAAACAGATGCAAAGACGAACCTTCTCACTCAATTGCAACATATTCACATCTTTCGCAATACCAAGCTCCTGCCTAAGCTGCGCTAACATCTGCGGTGGTATCTTCATTAATTCCTCATTCTCGCTTCCAGGTGGCGGTTGTCTGGGAGGCATCAACGGACTCGATCCATGCTGCTGCCCCATCGGCGTATTCGCCCTACTCGGCGACCTTACACCATGTCCAATTTGTCCCTGCTGATATCCAGGCGTCGGTGGGCCACCACCCTGCGGCTGCGGCTGGCCAGGATTCATACCCCCATTCGGCGGCAACATCCCTCCGCGGTTCATAGGCGCCATATTCGGGGACGGCCCTAGCTGACCCATGGGCGGCTGCTGCTGTTGACCTGGCTGTTGCTGGTGTGCACCCATCCCACCCTGCGGCGAATGTGCCATAGTTGGACTTTGGAACGGACCTCGCTGCTGTTGTGCCGCATTCATCGGGCCGGTGAGCCGGGGACCATACCCAGGCGGGTTCTGTCCCAAGCCAGGCTGCGGGGTCTGTGGGGGCCCAGGAATAATTCCGTTCGGCTGCTGCTGCTGCTGAGGGCCTCCGCCAGGCATGCTAAACCCCATCGGGCTCGCACCTATCTGGTGCTGTTGACCGGGACTGGGACCTGGGCCACCTTGCATGGGATGGGAAGATGGTCCGACTCCATTGGGCATCGGACCTCCGTTCGATTGCATGTATCCTCCTCCGCCAGGCCGAATCCCACCTGCCATATTATTGGGGATGCCGTTCATCATCCCCCGAGCAAGTTGCTGCGATTGCCCTTGCTGGCCCATCGCACCCACCATCTGCTGGGACGGGGGGTGCTGTTGCTGCTGTGGAGTAGTTGGAATACCAGGTTGCTGTTGAGATTGCGGTAGTACTGGTTGGCCAGCCCGGCCTTGCCTTGTCTGGTTTTGCACCAGCTGATGCTTTCATTTCGGTTTAGCATGGTAAAAAAAGCGATATCAATATCGGATCTAGGCCACGTACCTGGGTATAGAGCAGCCCATCCTCCGACCCCCCCGTGTTGGACTTTGCCTGGAAAAGAACCCAAAATACACTCCACCACCTGTTGCGATATCAGAACCAAGTTGACAAAAAAGAACAGAAAAGAAAGGAAAAAGAAAAAGGTGTGGTGATGGTGATGAGGCGGAAAAGAGCCAAAAAACACGCACTCGAATAATAGCCCTTGGCGTGCATTGATTGGTGGGATAGAGTCTTGTGGGATCTCAGCTTCAGCAAGAAGTTCTCGAGCAGTTTTCCTGAATCCCCTCTTGAAGCAGTAGTCGTAGATGTAGATATTGAACCTGTCGTCGAAAAGTTATTCATAGCAAGCAAAAGTGATGGAAGAAGCACGCACATCTTGTCGCCTTCCCATGATAGAGTCGATATCTCTGACTGTCCTTGAGATTGTTGTGGTGGTTGCGGTTGTATTTGCTGCTGCTGTGTCTGCTGCTGAGGCAGAGGAACCTGGAAAGGACCAGGCGGAGCAACGGAGGTCATGAATGAGTAGGCGTGGATTGGTATGGTATGTTGCTGTGTGAATATTGTGATATAGAGGGGGTATCAGAACATGGGCAGCGACGACGGGTGTGGGTGGGTGGGTGACTTTGCAGAAGGGACGGGTGGCCAAAGGAAATGGGAGGCGAGGAGACAGCGCGAGCGAGCAAGCAAGCAAGGGCAGCACAAATCCGCCATTATGAAATCAATCGTTTCAATTTCATCCTCCGACTCAATCTCGCTTCTATCCGGGCTAATGTCGTCGAACTACTGCTACTTGAAAATCCCATCCACCAACGATATACTTGAGTTCAAGCAGCCGCCGTATCTCCCTCCATCCACTTACCTTCTCCTCAGCCTCTGTCATGTCCGTCGCAACGTAGATAAAGTCCGCCGGAGACAGCAGACTCCGTAGCAGCGACCCAATCAAGAACGCGATAAGAGCCACAACCACCACCGTCGATAGCGGGTACATCCTCGCCGCCCCTGCTACTGCTGTTGTGGATCCCGCTCCATTGATAATCCCATCAACGTCCCTCAACTCTCCAGGAAGTTTCCGCGGAGAAGACGGAGTATTCGCCATCGTACTACTACTCGTAATAGCCCCAGTAGTCGTAGCAGTAGTCGCATCATCTGTCGAATTCACAACAACACAACTCTGAATCGGCGGCACACTTGCCGTTGTGAACCTTGCCAGCGGATTTGGGTACGATTGGAAAAATCCAAACAGGCCCTTGCCATGTCCGTTCCCCCCCGAGGGTGGTTCTGAACTCGCCACATGGGTTGCATGAGGTCGATTGGAAGATAAAATCGTGCTGTCTGTTGTGGGCTGGGAACATAGATCGAGTCAGAAGCCCAATCCTCCATTAAGCCATCATTCATCCTCGGCGAACACGTACCGTTCCCGGCGAATCCTCGCCTGCCGATGAAATCGAGTTCTCCCGAGCTTCCAGCTGCTCGCCAACATGTGCGTCGAGACTCCCAGCTCCAAGTGAACTCGTGGAGTCGAGTAGATCGTCAGCGATACCAATAGGAACTTTGAGATCGTCCGGCAATGGTTCCGTCTCGTTTGTGACCCTGAAAAAGGCGCTAAGATATGCCAAAGAAGGAAAAAAGAAAGGACATACCGCGAAAGCAATCCCATTTTGGAAACTCTGTCATCCAACAGCTCCTCCCTCCCCAAACTCGTCAAAGACGCCTTTTCGCTGACCACATCCACCTTTTTCCCATTGACAAGCACAATATCCACAACACCCTTCTTCTTCCCTTTCCCCTTCTCCTTCTCTTTCTCCTCCCCAGCCACATCTGCTCTTGGCCTCACCTCCACATCCACGATTGCACCTCCTCCCTCCGACTCCAACTCCAGAAACCACGCAGGTTTGGGCGGAGCACACTGCGTCTGCCCCGTCAGCGGGTCTTGTACAGTCGACACCTGGTACTGAGCAGTAGGCAACGTAAGCCTCAACAAATGCCTTGTCGGGCTCTCCGTGTTCAACCCGGACGAATGGAGTGGTGAAGAAGGCATAGTGTGGATAGTATATTGCAGCGGCAGAAACTCGTCCTCTTCCTTGTCGTTGTTCTTGTCCGTGTCCGTAGTAGTTGCATCGGGAGTAATCGTAGCACTTGAACTTGACTTCGCAATCAAAGTTGTCGTCGTCCCAGGCTTGTCCAACAATCCAACAAACCGTCCCCCCTTCCCAACCCTCAAACTCTTCCTCGTCCTCGACTTGACACTAACCACATATCCACCAGGGTACATCTTCGAATCCACCACCAACTCCGCAACAAGCAGATCCGTAGAAGGCTTCAGTTCACCTTTATTCGTAAACGCACTGCTCGTCGTCCGACCTCTCACATACGAAAGGGACGAAGGCAAGCTCGAGTCTGAAACCGACGGTATATGTCCAGATCCAGAGGACACTGCTCGTTGGCGGGTTGGAGGAGGCAAGATAGGGGAGGAAAATGGTGACATAGTCCCAGGCATAACCGTAACATCGCTCTTCACAGACTTTTCCCCATCCAAATCGTCCTTGTCCTGCTGAGAAGCCATTCGTGGACTAGACCCCCTACTTAACGCCATCCTACTCCCCGTCGTGGGTAACCCACTCGTACTGGAGGAGACCAGATTGGGAGACAAGACAACCAACACCCTAACACCATAAACCCTCTCCTCAACCCTAAACTCACTCCCCACAATCCACCTAACCTCATCCTTCCTCCTCAACTTCCACGAAACATCAGACAACCACTCCCCCTCTTTCCTCTGCGCAACCACCATCCCAGGACAAGGCAACCGCGTCAAAGGCAGCGGCGCAACCAAACTCTTCACATACGCTTCAACACTCAACACCGCTCGAGGCAAGGTGGCGTTGATAATGGAATTAACAGCGGCAGGTATCGCGCCTGCAAAATCCATTGCAACGAGGCGGGTACATCGCGTTGACGGGATAGCGTAGTTCTCTTTCGTGTATGGGTCCAGCGTCTCGAGGATCCATGCGTCCACGTAGACACGGCCTATGGGGAGTGTGTACGGGTTACATTTCCCTGCATCGAACCCAGCCCCCAAAATGGAATCAGGCCCAAACGAAGCTGAAACGCAAAATATCGCATTCTTCACACCACTCGAAGAAGAGTGTTCCCCTCCTTCCCCGTTACTTCCTCCTCCTCCTCCTCCTCCTATACCCGTATTCCTCCTAGACAAAAATAATGGAGGGACATGCGCACGCGCCATCACACTCGCCAAATAAAACCCCCGATCTCTGAAAGGGAACCCAGCTTTGGAGGATAAAAAAACCGTCTTGGCTTCCCCACCAAACGACTCCAAGACCTTTGCAGAATCAAACCGGTCGTCCCAATGTTTCCTGCACTCGAATTGGGTGACAACGCACGCGAGCTCTTCGGCCGATACGCCTTCGATGACTTTAGATCCTTTATGGACGGGTATGATGGGTGATATTTCTGGGATTAACTTTCGGTGGACTGGGAGGCCTTTGTCAGAGATAAATGTCCATCCGTCGGGTGTTGTTTGCTGTGGTACTGCTGGTGCTGTTGTAGTTGTAGTCGTAGAAGTAGAAATCAAACTTGTCGTTGAACCAGTAGCACCACCCACAACCTGCGCCTTGCACGACGCATTAAAATCCTGCGTCCACGCCAACGCGTCTAGGGCGTACTGCATCGGCATCTTCAAACTCGACGGAGTCGCAGAATGGGCGCCGTTCGCAGGTGAGATGGCAGCTACGGCCGACTGCGTCGTACTCGTCGCCTGATCGACCGCATAAGTCAAGAACCTCGACAAAGGACTCGACATCCTCGGTGCGCTTGCCCAATCACCCAAACTGTTTCCTCCATTTCCCCCATTCTTCAGTTCCACGTTCACAGCAGCAGCAGCAGAGGAAGAACCATCACCAACACCCTCCCCCTCCTTACTCCACTCCGCCTTCCTCCTCCTGACAACACCCACAACAGGCGGCTGATCAAGCGGTATCCTAGGGGGCTTCACCCTCTTCCTCTTACTCAGCGCCTTCACCTCGCTCTCCGGCATCTCCTCAATGTCCACGGGCACCTTTGCCCCATTCACCATCACCAACCCCTTTTCCTTCCCCGGCGCACGACGGACAATAGTCAGCAGCCGTTCGTCCTCCACAAACACAGAGTCGTGCGAAAGCGTAAGCCATAGCCCACCACCATCAAGTGAGAGCCTATGTCGTCGAAGGCAGGAAATACTTTGTGGAGGTGGGTCAACGACGATATCGAGTGATGATGCCCAAGTGTCCACATCGCATCTAATCTCACATTCGATATTGGGCGCGTTGGAGTCCATCTCTCCTTCCTCTCCACCACCACCACCACTGGAGGAAGACAACCCCATCCTCCGACTAGAAGCAACCTCATACTCAACTTTAAAACTCCCCTTCTCATGATCATACCTAACCTCATTCATCTTCGCGCCTCCAAGACGCGTAACAACCGGCGGCCCACCACACTTAATCGCAAACTCCCCAATGCCAGCTAAGAGATTGATCATCTGGCTTGGAACGCTTGTCTTATTGGTCCACCCTTTCGGATCGGATTGTTCGAGGAGGGTTAGGAGTGTGGTGGTTGGGGAGAGGGATTCGATGGCCCAGCCTTGTAAGTCGACTTGGGTGCGGATGGTGTTTGGGTCCAAGGGAGGGATGTGGGGGAATAAGTGTGAATCCGAATCAACGGAGAAGGAAAAGACATGGATTGTAGTGGGGGATTTGTATACGGTCTTGAGGACCACTGTGTCTCTCCCTCTTTAAATTCCAAACATATGTAAGTACTCGAAAAAGACAAAGAAACAATAGAAAGAACATACGTAACAGGCCAAGCAGGCTTTGTCTTGAAATGCCACATCTCCGTAAGCTCATTAACGTCCTCCAGGAGAACCGCATCTTCATGCTGCTTATCCCAATAAATCCTCGCTCCAGGACTTATAACGGCCCCATACAGATCCCACAATCCCACACCTACAAAGGTCGCTTCTGCACGGTAGACCACTAGTGTTGGATCGATCGAGTCAAGTTGGGTTATTGATACGCCTCGAGCTTCGGTTGCTTCATTCCAAGTTGTTGCGTTAATTAGAAGAAAAAGAGAAAAAAAAGAAAAACACGTACTCCGTCTCCACTTTGCCTCAGGCTCTTGAAGAAGCGATGAGAAATAAATATAATTCCTCCTAACCTTCGACAATATCGTCTTCTCCGCCGCAGGACTCCTCTCCATCTGTCCATGTCCCGATCCCTTCGACTCAACAACACTCGTACCCGTCGTCCTCAACGAAGAAGCAGACGTCTGCACACTCAAATCCACCGCACTCGCAATATCCGCCAACATCGCCTGCGGGACGCCATAACTCTGCGGATCCCTCGGCTCAGAATCATATATCGTCTTTGGGAGCCCATTGAGCCTTAACCCGCGACTTGCACCTGATACTTCGATGACCAACTTAATTCTCAACAAAGAGTGATCGTTGGGTGGTGGAGAGTGGGTTATTCGGAGGATTATTTGGTCGGGGGGTGAAGTGTTCAAGGGTGAGGGGTTGGACGAACCACGAATGGCATGTGCGGACCAGGGAAGCTGCTCTACCTCCTCTGATGAAGCCTTCACTGACACGAGGACGTCCCAACCCTCCAAAGAGGGTAAAATACACTCCACGCTCCTCGTCAGCCTTCTTTGCTCCCTGATCATCTGAACCTCATCCACACCATGCATCTGTTCAGCCGTAACCCCCAAATGATCCTCATCGTCCGGTAAAATCGAATAGTCAACCGTTAAAGCCTCCCTATCGACCTGATACCTCACCCGGCCAATGGACACGCCGTGCCCATACCCACCGAGCTTGGGCACGCGTTCGCCCCGCTTTATTACGGATTTGAACATACTCAAGACCATGGTTGAGAGTTGTTGTTGGACGCCTGCAGAGGTCGATCCGAAGCCCCACATGGCTTTGAGATCATGTTGCCAGAAACAGGTTATCCGAATCCGGCTTGGGGATTTCTTAACTTGATCGTCTTGGGGAGGGGGTGAGGGGATGTGTTGGATGCACCATGCGAATACTAGCTGGGATGAGATAATAGTTAGAAAGAGAAGAGGACACGTACATTTGACGTGGGATCTGACGAATGGAGGGGAAGGTCGTAGGTAGGCAGGCTCATCGGGTGACCTGGGGAGTGAGGTGGAAATGTCTATGACGGTTGTTGGATCATGAAATGACCGCGAAATCGTAACCGCATCTCTTGGACTATGCACAAACAAAAAAATTCAAAAATTAGCAACTGCCCATAAACGACCAAAACGAAGGACATACTTCGCCGGCCAACCAAGCGTGAAATTCGTCTTACATATCCTCGTGGTATGGTCGAATACCTCCAACAAATGCGCGTCTTCCACGGCCGGATCCCACTCCGTCCTTAATTCGGGCGTAGTCAAGACCGTTTTCCACGGTTCCAGCGAAACCATATCCTCGCTTGGGGTGGGCACGTCCAACACGATCCTATACACCTCTTCACCCGCCTTGCTATACGCGCGATGGACAATGACATCCGCGAGCTCTGGGACGGACGAGACACGTGCTTTGCCTTTGCCCTTGGAGGAGGATGAAGAGGAAGCGTCCTTGGATGAGCTGGACATGCGTTTCCAGTCTGAGGAAGGGGAGGTGAGGAGGTGTTTGAAGTAGGCTTCGGCATCGTTCAGAGCGTTGTACCATGTCTTTCGTAGTCTGTTGTATTGTCAGTGGGGTTGATTTTAGCGGGGTAAGGTAAAGAACTGACTGTGAGCCATCGGACATTGCTTGAGTATGATAGGCTTTGGTGCAAAGTTCAAACGTTGCTTTAGCTCTTGAGTAAAGAAGGTAAAGTCATGGCGTGACCACCGTATGGAAGTCATTACAAATCGACTGCACAAGAGACTACAAAATATACCACAACTTAACCACAACTTGGACTCGGACGTGCGGATGAGATAGTAGATCCCGCCAACGCTGCGGCTCTACAGCGATGGCTTTAGAATTTTTGAAGTTCCGGAGCAAGTTGTAGGTAGGTTTACTGATTGAATCCGTTAAATCGAAATTGCACATCACACCAACTTCACACCCTCCCGTTATTTGAGTTCAAGTGGGGCACGCCCGTAAACTCTCGATATACAGATAAAATCACAAAGGGAGGAACTTGCGAACCAGCCCCGCTCCCAAAGACCCAATCACAGGCCCATTCAATTCAAATCCAACGTTCTTGAAATCAAATTGCAGGCCATTAATGGGTAATACATCAAACCTTCCAAAACACCAAGTAAGTAAGAAACGGCATAACTCGAGTGTGGTCAACACGTTCTTACAAAGCGTTGCATGTGTCCGCTCTGTATTCCCTTCAGCTGACCCTTTCTTTGAAGTTTGAATTCAGTGAGCCACGGCCGCCATTCAACATTGGAAGAAAACGCACTTCTAGAGTAATCTTTTCCAAGCACCCTTCGAGGAGCTGATCTCTCCCAACCGTTGCGACGAAGTTGAGCTTTATGATTTCTATCTTGAACTGTTGAAGAGGACGTTCTGATAAACGAAAGTATCAATTAGTGGATTGCTTGTGAACCTGAGATACGTATAATGCCCACTGATAGTGATGGTATAATCAGCGCTCCCTCCTAAAATCTTTCCTCGTACCCAAGCACTGATATCCGTGACGACCAGCGTTGCGATCCCCGTAACCTGCACCTCGAGTTGCAACGCTGAGTTCGTATTGAGGACAAGAGGGACATCGTTTCACTCCTTGAAAAACTTGGTACCATCCGGATTGAGATTTGACCCGTTTTCGAAGAAATGGGCTTCAAGCTCAAGCTGGCGGTTTCCGTTAGAAAAATCTAATGTCTGGTTTAAACGGGGATCCGTGAATAAGGAGAACTCTTGAAAAAGAGAATACAATCCCTTCCCACCTGACATTTGATTCTACCAATCTGTCATCGATTCCAATGAGCCTTTCAACAGAGTCTTCAACTTACATCGTGGCATGATGCACACCTTTGCATTCCCGTACTTGATGGTAGCCTCCACCTCTATTGGCGCATGAAAGACGGAATCCGTGGTCGCCGTGAATATACCGATCATGGCCTTTGGTTCAACACGGTCAAAGGTGAGATCAGTTAGTTCGACGACGGTGGTTTTCAGCATGATCGCCAGGCCTGAGAGATGGGAATGGAGAAATGTGGTAGATGAGATGGTGGTTTCAGAAAGAGACTCTGAGGCCAGGTATTTATATCCAATTGGCTGATCTGTAGATAAAGCTGGCGAGTGACTGATCGCCTGGCCCGGAACTGTTCGCCTGAACATTGAAACGCGAATTCGGGTGATCACTGCAAGGTTCGCTTCTGTGTCTTCACAAAACCCAATGGTCTTAGTGCGTCCAGATTCCAATCACACGTCATGGTCGGGAAGTCGATCCAGAGAATCAGTCTGTTCGAAAATCAGAATCTCGTCACCGAATCTTGAGAAAAGGATATACATACATGTGTTCGGGGTGTAGAACGCCACTAGTTTTCTGAGTACTTGGGGCTCCAGCCACTGTTGGGATGAGGCATGCATGTGGGGCAATCTGGACGTTTGTAAAGTGTCGGCTGGGGTTGGCATCTGCGTCCCCTCGTCTTACCCGATTCCCTCCCTTTCTCCATCTTCCGCTCCTTTGAGGCTCGTACTAACTCCCCCTCTCTTCCTTATTTAGCCGGTTTAGACCCAGCCTCTCGCTCCCACCTCCTTGCCCTCTTTGAAAAACTCCACGTTTCCCGATAGCCACGTATAATCCTCGGGATGTGCGCACAAGAGAAGTTTCTGGGGCGGATTACGCATGTGTTGTACGTTGGTGAGGGGTGCGTTGCGCCAAGAACCAGGGAATGGTGGAAGAGGAATGTGATAAGCCCACAGAAGGGTCCCGCAGTGCTTGGATCAGAGCTTCTCTAGTCCGTTCGCACTGCGAATCTACTCCAGCTCGAAGAGATCTGCGGGGTAATATCTGCTACATGATGGCGACTCCCTATCCCATCCACGTCATTTCCAACCAACGAGTCCGAGACTCCCCGACGTTCCAATCCCGTGAAAAGACGGCTTACAAAGGGAACTGGCCGTCTATCGGAGAAACGCAAACCGCGGAAATGCTAGAGCGCGGTGGGCGTCTGCATGAGGATTCCGGGGTGTACGAGAGGCGAGATAGGACCGAGGTTGGGTCAGGGAAGGGGTTTTTTTTGAGCCAATGCTGGGGGGGAATGGAGCAAGAGCTGGAGGTTGAACGATGAGGAGCGAATGAGCGCGGAGATGGGGGTGGAGGGTACTTCATCTTCTGCTCGCATGTTTATCGCAAGAGAAATACGTAAATTGGGGGAGTGGAGGATGCAGGTGTGAGGCGGATGGGGTTGGACGGCTGCTAATGGGATGAGGGACGGATATTGACTCAAGGTATTAGATCAGGCTTCTTGCCCATCGTTTCGGTTGCTGAAGGGTCGACATCGAGGTATAGGTATTGTTTTCTGTCATGGAAGTGGACTGCTATTCAACTGTTAGATGCGAGTCAGAGAATTATAGCGGTGAGGAAATAAAAGGTCTTACAGAGAAAGTTTTCAGAGGAAATTGAGATCTTGTTCGGCGACGAACTGTTCGTTCCCTGTGAACCCCGCCTAAGGGGCCCGCTAATCCATGAGGTGGGATTTGAGAGTCATTTTTGAAGTGAGCCGGCAGGAAAGTGCAATATCGTGGGGCTGGTCGTAGAGTTGGCATGGTAGTGCGACACTGTGAGTCTGCGCGGTCTTTGCTGGTCTTTGAGAGCGGCATTTTTGGAGTAGAACACTGGGGGAAGAGTTTCGTCGCCCGATAAGGATTCCGACAACAAACTCTCACAACTGATCTCCGACTGATCTCACCTCTTCTTCATTGACCACGACAACCGCCAAATCTGTCGACCCCGCAAGCATTCATAGTCTTCTTATCACAACACACATTGTTTCCCTCATGTTTCCCTCACCGCCCGCATTCTTCCAAAATGCTCACGATACCACCATCTCAGGAAACGCACGGTTCAATGCTGCCGGTCGCGATGTCATAGTTAATTATGGGTCTCGGTCCTCTGCTCCTGCAGGTATGTTAAAATTTATCTTATACTCATTAATACTACCAAAAGTATCTATGACATCTAGCGCTCCACGACTTGCTTAGGCCTGTCAGTAACGCTACCCTTACTCGCGCGGGCCATGTCGCTCGATGTGATCCTGGAACTCGTTTGGAGGTGATTGCTCAGATTCGACAGTGGCTCGATGGCCATGGTAATGATAAGCGAGCCGTTGTCTGCTGGCTCAATGGACCAGCTGGCTATGGCAAATCGGCATTGGCACAGACCATTGCGGAGTGCTATGCTGCAGAGGGCCGCCTTCTAGGGAGCTTCTTCTTTTTGCGAGGTGCAGGCGAACGCAGCCATATATCTCGCCTGATCCCTACTCTTGCATATCAGATCTCCCTTGCTGTTCCTGCTGTTAAACCGTTGCTTGAGAAGGCTCTTGAGGACGAGCCGGCCCTGCTAGGGGTGACTGTCTCTTTGGCTCATCGACTTCGAAGACTCATCATAGAGCCAATCCATCTCTATGCTTCACAACTCTTCTACACTTCACGACTCTCCTACACCTCTGAAGACATCTTTAGTCTTCTGAGGAAACAGATTGTTGTTATTGACGCTCTTGATGAATGTGATGACAAAGCTGAGATGGCAGACTTCATTGATGTCTTGCTTAGTGCATCTTCGGGCAGGACATATCTTCCTTTCCAGATTCTCCTTACTAGCAGGGTAGAGGAACATATACAAAGCCAGTTTGATTGTTCTGAAGCTCGGTTTTTGCACTGTCTGGAGTTACAGAAATTTGATGCTTGTCCAGACATCCACATATATGTTCAGAGGGCATTTGGTCGCATCTATGACCGAAATTGGCGAATCATGCAGAGAATACCAAAGCCCTGGCCATCAGCTGAAAATCTCTTTGCACTTCTTGACAAGTCTGGCAGTTCATTTGCATTTGCTACTACCTTGATCCAATATGTTGGTGAAGATCGCATGCCACACAAGGCCTTGGAAAGACTTCTGGCATCAGGAGCTAATGGTCTAGATCCACTCTATGAACAAGTTCTCTCTTCTGTCTCCTTAACAGAAGACTTCTCTCAGATTCTTGGAACAATCATGATCCTGGAGGATAACAAGTCTATTTCTTTTCTCAGCTCCCTCCTCTCTCTTCAGCATGAGGAGGTCATTTGTGAGCTATTGCAAGTACAGTCCATTCTTAAAATTCCTGGAGATGATCATATGCCTATTATGCTCTATCACACATCTCTCCGGGATTTTCTGACCATGAAATCACGATCAAATCAATATTTTATTGATCCTCCTCTCCGACACCTTCATCTGGCCATACACTGTTTGAAGCATCTGGCAGAATACCCTTCAAAAGACTTTTTTGAGGGTGATGTGGCCAACTATGCTTGCTTCCATTGGCCAAACCATATTCTTTTTGGATTCCAGGAGCAAGGAAATGTGGATGATAAAATTCTGACCTCTTTGGCAACTCTCATGAAAAATTTACTGACTTTTCAGAGTAAGACATGGTATAATACTGTGGCAACTTTTACAGGTGATAACAGGAGAAGGATGTTAAGCTGTATGGTGGATGTAAGGATTTTGTTTCAAGTCAGTTGTTTGCAATTCTCAGATGGTCATCATCACACTCTTAACATGTTTAACATTGCAGAGGTCAATTGTTACAAAGAATTTGATCAAGATATTTGAAGAAGTTATGGATTTCTATGAAGTAAGAGTTTTATAACTAGGATATTGTCACTAATTTATGAAGATCTTTGAACAGACAGTAAGTAACAGGAGAATAATGCTGCTCAAAAGTTAATCTATAAGCTTAATAGGAGGTATGTGGTAATAAACAGTAATGAAAAGGATTCAAAATAAAATATTGACCTGTTTTACAGGATGTAAGCCAAGACATAATAACATTTTATTGCTGTTGATAAAGCACAGGAAGTAAGAACAAAACAAGTATCAGGCAAAGAAGAGTTTGATCCTTATTGTTCTTTTTCTTGCAGAATGTATGTCTGCAAATTGTTCAAGTTCTAATATATTCTCATGATTGTCACTAGTTGGTGGGCAATCATTTTGCATCATATGATCTTATCATCAGCTGTCCCTTTCTTTTAGAAAGTAAGTAATAACTGTTGATCCTGCTACTTATACAGCTCATTATAAATCCAGAGAGTAATATACAGTCTATTCACATTGTCTCAGTATGCCTATAACAGATTTTTTTAGTGGGTAAGTGATTATACAATGTCTGAAATAACTTTGTTCTGACTCAATTCTCGGCTGAACCTACGATGTCTTAGACAGTAAGTTGTTCACCTATTGATCATTATTTCTTCTGATAACTCATTCTCTGGCCTTTTCATTGCTTTGCACTATTTTGGTGATCATGATGTGCTTTTCCCTATTTCAGCAAGTATGCTTTCTTGCAGTTTATTTTGCACACCTCTAAAACACATGCTCTGGCCATTCTTGTTAAAGAATGTGAGTTGGCCTGGTTTTTGATGTGTGCTCTTCTGGTGATACTGACTGTGGCCTGTCTTGTTTCAGGAGGTGAGTTGGCCTTGTTTTTGGTGTGCACTCTTCTGGTGACACTGACTGTGGCCCATCTTGTTTCAGAATGTGAGTTGGCCTGGTTTTTGATGTGCACTCTTCTGGTGACACTGTGGCCTATCTTGTTTCAGCAAGTGAGTTGGCCTTGTTTTTGATGTTCACTGTTCTGGTGACACTGACTGTGGCCTATCTTGTTTCAGTTGGTGAGTTGGCCTTGTTTTTGGTGTGCACTCTTCTGGTGACACTGACTGTGGCCCATCTTGTTTCAGAATGTGAGTTGGCCTGGTTTTTGATGTGCACTCTTCTGGTGACACTGTGGCCTATCTTGTTTCAGCAAGTGAGTTGGCCTTGTTTTTGATGTTCACTGTTCTGGTGACACTGACTGTGGCTTGTCTTGTTTCAGTTGGTGAGTTGGCCTGGTTTTTAATGTACACTCTTCTGGTGACACTGACTGTGGCCTGTCTTGTTTCAGCATGTGAGTTAGCCTTGTTTTTGATGTGCACTCTTCTGGTGACACTGACTGTGGCCTGTCTTATTTCAGTTGGTGAGTTGTCCTGGTTTTTAATGTGCACTCTTCTGGTGACACTGACTCTGGCCTCTGTTGTTTCAGGGAGTGAGTTGGCCTGGTTTTTAATGTGCACTCTTTGGGTGACACTCACTATGGCCTGTCTTGTTTCAGGGGGTGAGTTGGCCTGGTTTTTGATGTGCACTCTTCTGGTGACACTGACTGTGGCCTGTCTTGTTTTAGTATGTGAGTCAGCCTGGTTTTTGATGTGCACCCTTCTGGTGACACTGTGGCCTATCTTGTTTCAGCAAGTGAGTTGGCCTTGTTTTTGATGTACACTCTTCTGGTGACACTGACTGTGGCTTATCTTGTTTCAGTTGGTGAGTTGGCCTGGTTTTTAATGTACACTCTTCTGGTGACACTGACTGTGGCCTGTCTTGTTTCAGCATGTGAGTTAGCCTTGTTTTTGATGTGCACTCTTCTGGTGACACTGACTGTGGCCTGTCTTATATCAGTTGGTGAGTTGTCCTGGTTTTTAATGTGCACTCTTCTGGTGACACTGACTCTGGCCTCTGTTGTTTCAGGGAGTGAGTTGGCCTGGTTTTTAATGTGCACTCTTTGGGTGACACTCACTATGGCCTGTCTTGTTTCAGGGGGTGAGTTGGCCTGGTTTTTGATGTGCACTCTTCTGGTGACACTGACTGTGGCCTGTCTTGTTTTAGTATGTGAGTCAGCCTGGTTTTTGATGTGCACCCTTCTGGTGATACTGACTGTGGCCTGTCATATTTCAGAATGTGAGTTGGCCTGGTTTTTGATGTGCACTCTTCTGGTAACACATATTTTGGTGCTTCTTTTTAGGGGGTGAGTTTATTTGCTTTTGGCCATAAATTACTCTTGTCACAGGCCGTCTCTCTTTACTTTTCCTAGTTTGTACGTTCCTTGTTTTTCACTGTATATTTTGCTACTAACCCATTTTTGACATTTTCCATTTAGGAGGTGAGTTGCCCCCACCCTTATTCCAATCTATTTCATTTACTTAATTCTTTCACTTACTTTTAGAAAGTATGTGGTCTCTCCTGCATGTCTTGTAAGTTTTATTGCATATCTTTCACTTTTCAATCTCCATGTATTCAGTCATTATTCTTTATCAGGTAATTTATGTCCAATCAATATCTTTTAAGATGGTTAGTCAAATTTAAGCATCCAATAGACCAATTTTACAACATCTCTTTGTTTCATTTTATTTAGACTGTAGGTTGTCCATTCACTCTCATTTCCATCACCCTGTTATATGCTTATTGTAACTCAGATTGTATGTTTTTATTTCCTATGACAGAAGAATGCTCATCTTTTGTAGCTTGTATGTCTTTGATCTATTTCTAGCTTCCAGCACTTTCCCCTTCTCACCATTCTTTTTGTTAGGAAGTATGTATTTCTTCACATTATTTGGCCAGGTCACTTATTTTAGATATATAGTGGGCAAGTCACCTGCATTTTCTATCATATCAGAATTTTTGATATCATAAAATTTTCCCATTTTTAGAGGGTATGCTTTTTTTTTGCTGTTACTGCTCACTCAATATTCATCTTCAAAATATATAGAAAGATACAGAGCTATAGAGATTCTAATGAGCCCAGTTATTTGCAAAATGTCAAGCTTTGTATGTATATCTATCTGTTCTATTTCTTCTTCTTTACTATCTCCATTCTTCTTAGTGGTTGATACATCCCCTATACCAATGATTTCTCTAACATCTTCATCATTGAGTTTCATAGACACTGAGGAGAAGCAAAAGCTCTATGTACTTAGTTTCAGGTTCAGTCTCTTGAGGTGTATGTAGATGAAGTACTCATTGCTAAGACTACACTGTCTGTTGGAAGATCTTCATAAATTGGTGAGGATATTCTAGTTATAAGCTCTTACTTCATCAGTGATGCAGGTGAGGAGGCACATGATACATCCTCAGCATGTGCCATGTGGATGATGTAGACATGTGGAAAGTATGGAGGGGTGGACTCTTATATTACCAACACCATGTTGACAAGAGACTCTAAGTTACAAGGATGAGTCAATAGCTTTTACTACTTAGATTGATGCACCCCTTTACACCAACAATTTCTGTGTAACTGAAAATGTTTTGTCAGTAGAATGGGACAAAGAGGACACAAAGGTCAGTAAACAAATAGAGGATAAAGATCTATCCTGTATTCACAGGATAGATAACACTACTCACAGAACAATCAACAGAAATTAACTGTGTGTATAATTCTGGAGATGTATGAGAAGTAAAGGCAGTACTTTACAGTGCCCCACCTATTCCTGCAGGAATCCTGTAGGAATCGGGTCATTCCTGAATTCCACAGGAATCTGCAGGAATCCTCCAAGCTCATCTAAATTTACCAGTACTCTAGCTGAAAGTCATGTGACTTAAGATGTACTTATTCATCTCCAACCTCACTTTTCCTTATAAAATTTGAAGTGAATAACTTGAAGAGTAATGTATTGAATGTATCCAAAGACATGGAATGTACTTTGTGTGTGTATGTCAATGATTATTTGGAGATAATCTAATGATCATGTCACATGACGATAGTATGTAGACCAGGACTTTTCGTGGGTATGAGCTACCTAAACTATGTAACTGTCCTGCCGTTTATGCCCGCTTTCGTGACTTTCTGTTTGTAACACTAATCAGGACTTTCAGGGGGCCCATGGCTGAGGTCTTTACACTCCCCAGTATATTCCATATGGAATATTTTTATGTGAGTCCCCAGCTATTTTTTTATTCCATAGTCACTATGGATTCCATATGATTCCATATGGAATATGGATGGAATGATGGATTCCATGGACCATTCCAGGTGGATTCCATCTGGATTCCAGCCATAGATTAATTAATGACCATTATACCATTATAATACAGTATTTATAATGTCCTTACTATATTTAGGTAAAAATTAAATTTGACACTTAAGAGGATTGAACCCTCAACCACGTCAGCAATAGCAGTGCTCAAGTCAACTGAGCCATGCAGACATTATTACATGGTAAACTAAAGGTCTATGTATACCACTCTCTGTCACGTGGCATCGCAAATGTGACAGCTTTGGCTGGAACGTTGCCACGTCGTTTCTTCCCTCCCACCACCACCATCACCATCCACCACCACTGTCTCAAACCACCACTGCTCATGACAACGATGATGCAGACGATGCACGTTGCCATGCCCAGGTAAGCAGCAACCCCTCCCACCTCCCCTTTTGACCAAAACAACGCCCAGCAACCACCCATGGCCCACGAACAGCAAAACAAAGCCCACCAGCCACCACCTGGCATCCACAAATGGTGACCCAGCCCCATGGATGCAAAAACGAGCCCACCACGCCCAACTGACAACTGTGACCGCCCCCAACCAAGACGAGCGCCCACCAACGTGAACGAGTGCCCATGCACGAAGACCAGCACCAATGAAAATGACCGCCCACAGATGTAAACGACTGCCCAGGACAATGATAGCCCATGAACAGGCATGAAAACGACTGCCCACGCATGTGAACGACCACCCAGGACGACAATAGCCCACGAATGGGGACTGCTGCCCACAAAAACGACTGCCCAGCAACATGAGCACCCCAAAAACGACAACGCACCCATGAACGACAACACCGACTGCCCAATTACAATGACCACCAACGGACGATGAGCACCCATGGACAATGACCACCCCCATTGATAAATGGAGATGACCGCCCATGAAAGTGAACAGAAACGGGCAACGACGAGCCCAGGTGAGTCCCCCTCCCTCCATCATTCCACCCACTTCCTCCTCCTCCATCATTTCACCCACTTCCCCCCCCCCTCCATCCCCTTCCCCCCATTGCCCCCCCTCCTCCCATTGCTCCCCCTCCTCCCATTGCTCCCCCTCCCCTTCCTTTCCTTCCATTTGCTCCCCTCTGCTCCCCATCCCTCCAGTGTCCCCCTTCCTTCAATACTCCCCACCACTCTCTCCCTCTCCACCACACCCACTCCCCTTCATCACTTCCCCCTCCCTCCCCCTCTCCTCTTAATATAGAATGTAGTAAATAAATATATGTAGTCTTATTCAATATATATTTATTTTTATTGAACAGTTATCAGTATGAATAATGACTTAGCAATATTTCAAACAGCCCACTTTCTAAGTTGGAACTTACCATGGATTCCACCTTGAAAATGGTATGGAATCCATCTAAAAAAAGTATGGAATCCATCTAGTGTTTAAAGGTTCAGTCCATAGGACTGCAAAAAACCGGTGGACTGAACTGAACTGGTCCATGGTCTGGTCTTTTTTTCGGTTGGAGTTGCCCCAATTTGGGGTTGGTCCGGTTGCTGGTTGCCTCATTTCGAAAATCTTTTAAAACTGTTCAAAGACCGGTTTTAATCGGTTGCAACCAGTTAAACGGTCATGTGCGTTACATAGCCTTGTAACCACGTTTATTGCCTTTTATTGGGTTTCTGTTTCATCAAAAATGGTTAAGAATTGAGAAAGATATAACCAAATCCATATTTTACCTAGTCTCTAGGAGATGTAATTCAGTTTCAGTCATAGCTATGTCAAATCTTCATTAAATCTCTTGAAAATTGGTAGAATGATGGGTATTTATATGCTTTACTATTTTATATAACCCGTTTATTTTTCAGAGTAATAATGGTTGAGATACAAATGGTTTATATTGGTATAATAAATTATACGCAAAAAAACCGGTCTGGATCGGTCTGAACTGGTATCATGGACCGCAAAAGACCGGTCCTAGGTGGTTCAGTTCGGTTCCCTCAATATCTGGGTTGGTCCTGGACCAGTTCCGGTCCACGGTTGCGCGTTTTCGGGGCAAAAAACCAGACTGAACTGAACCTTTAAACACTAAATCCATCTGGAAAAAGCATGGATTCCATCAACTATTCCATGGAATCCATCTGATATTTGTGGAATCCATCCCCCTTCCATGGAGTCCATATGGAATACTCTGGGGAGTGTAAAGTACTGCCATGGCTTAACCCTTACAAGCATAGGAACTCGATCGCTTCTTTTACTCCCTGAGCTACCTTATCACCACATCTAGATCTCACGGCACACCATCATGTGGCTGTCGCTGGCGGGCATTCTTGTGGGGAAACCCCCTAACCCTGTAAGACTAACCCCATTTGACCTTAGTTCTTTCCTCAAGCAGAGGCCTCATGCCCCCTAAGATTTTCGTTCAAGCCTAATTGGTAGATGTGTGGAATAACCCAACCCTTTGGCATATTGGTGTTTGTTGATCAGCAAGGGGACTGGTTTACTGGCCTCGACTCTGTGATTTTTGCACATCATTTGTCAGCCACTACAGCCCATCCCAAGCCTTCCAATCTGCTTCTTCGGCATATCTTCTTTTTCCAAGATAAGAGGAGTAAATGTGGCCATGATATCATTGTGATTGGGGGGCGTGGGTACGTCATATTTGGCATCAGGGTCTATACAACAGACCGTGTCACCTTCCCATACACCTGACCCATCCTGGCGTCTCCTGGGGGCATTGAATGCACATGGTGTCTAAGTTGTTTTCCACATGCAGGGGGTCAAACTTGAGACCTTGCAGACCCAAGCCAGACAGACGATGGTGCCACCTGAGCCACTGTGCCCCAGAATGTATTTTAACATACAGTCTATATTTAAAGAAGGGAGTGGGGTAGGGACAAGGAAAGGGGGTGGGAGAAGACAAGGCAGTGGAGAAGGAAAGGGGTAGGGACAAGGAATAGCAAAGGTTGGGAGGGACAAGGAAAGGAGTAGGAAGGAGGGGAGAGTTATGGAGGGAGGGAGGGAGTGGTGAACAGGGGGGAGTGATGGAAAGGGGAGGAAGTGGTGGAGAGAGGAGGGAGGGGAAGGGGGTGGAGTGATGTAAGGAGGGGGAGTGAGGGAGAGGTGGTGTGGAGGTCTTTACCATCCCCCATGTAATCCATGTAGATTCCAGTGGATTCCAGTGGAGTCCAGTGGAGTCCAGTGGAGTCCAGTGGCCCAGTTGCTAGGCAAAATTGGCTTGCACAATGCCCAGTCCACTGGCCTCAAGTCCAGTTCAGTCCACTCCAGTCCAGTCATAGTCCACTGGATCAATGGAGTCCACTAGATTCCAGTGAACCATTACTTATTACTTATTGATATTAATTATAATGCTACAAAAAGACTAAGCAATTAACAAGCTAGACTTGAATTTAGAAGAAATCATCAAGGGTATCATTCAAGGTCTGGATGGCCAATGATGACTTGCAAAGCAAGTGATTGCGGAAGGTAAAAGTGTGGAGGTTGGTGGCTGGGATTGGGAACATTGTAGGAGGACAATCCTATGTTCAGCTACCATCTACGAGGAGGTTCAAAAATTAGCTGGGACAGCGCTTATTAACCCACTTATGATCAAGGCCACTGAGGCGGACAAGCTGATGGATGTATTGTCAATGGAAGACAAATTTTCTGCCCAGCCCGAAACATTTAAGTACCCCTCCATCACAGCTCTCTCAGAAGTATGTGGTCGTACCATTAAAGCTGCACCTCGTCGCTCTTGTTGCACTCCTTCGAACCTTGGTTGCACAAGCACAAAGCAATCATGGGACGAAGATTATTGTTTTTCTGAGTTGTACAGACTCTGTTGACTTTCACTGGAAGCTTCTCGTGGGGTCAACAATGGACGATGATGTTGAGCCTTCTGCAGAACAATCTGAAATTGACAGCGACGAGGACATCAAGACTGAACTGCAGACAAAACCCCTAGCTTCTGAGCGGGTTCAAGCCACATGTTCCTTTTTGCCAAATGTCTCCATCTATCAACTTCATGGATCCCTTCCTACCTCAACACGGCTTGCATCCATCAAAGAGTTTTCTGGTGTTCAGAGAAAAAACAAGGATAGCAGCCAGGAAGCCTCATCCTCTGTTCTTTTTTCCACATCTGTGGCGTCGCGTGGTTTGGATCTTCCCCTTGTTTGTGTGGTGATCCAATATGATCTTCCGGCCAAGGGTGGCACAAAGGAGTACATTCATCATGTCAGATGTACTGCATGCACTGGGAAGGGCGGTGAAGCTTGGAGCATAGTCAGTCCAAGCAAAGTTGTGTGGGTGAAGTGGGTAGAGGAGAAAATGCAGGGTAAAAGCACTGACAATACTAAGCAGAATGCTTCTCTGACTGGTGTGGCGGTGGAAAGTCTTTTACAGACAGGATTTGGAGGCAAAAGTAGTGAGTATGAGGAGTGCGCAACTGAAGTTCAGCTGGCATTTGAGTGCTGGGTTTTACAAAGCAAAGACGTATGTTCCATTTTCAACGCTTTTGCAAATTTATTCCTAACGTCTGTCTAGAATCTTGCATTGGCAAGAAATGCCTTCCTTTCTTACATGCAGGCCTACACTACCCATCCATCAAGACGAAAAGCACGTATTCCATATCCGTCATCTACACATGGGACATCTTGCCAAAGCATTCGCATTGCGAGATGCTCCGACAAAGGTGACTGGTACTTCCACAAAAGCAAAACAGCCAAAACTCTGTCAGTCTAAAAGCCAACAACCGAAGGAGGTTGCTGTGAAGCCTAAGGACTGGGAGCAACATGACGGCGATGCGGAAAAACATATGAAAGCCATATTTCGTGCTCAAGGTCAGCTAATGAAGAAAGGAGGAGTGATGATCAGCAGTGGTGCATCAGAATTCCAGATATCAGGTGGAACGGCGTTGGAGAAGCTGGTCCAGGGAGGTGACTATTAGCTACAATTGTTACATTATGAGCCATGTATATGGGAGAAATAAACATCAGTGTGGATGTTCTTTGGAACGCAAGTCGCAGCGTGCGACACATCTCTTCTACACCAGCAATCTTCTCCCGCAGACTATTCTTTGGAAAGTGCCTCACTATTCCACGTGTTCCGTTTGATATACATATAAACTTCAGGGTTTATGCAGTACATCTCCCATTTCTTTCTGTCTTTTTGCTCATCATGCCTATCCCTTTCATCGCTGGTCCCACTGCCACTCGCACTTTTGAAGTTATCACCGGACTCTTGCCAACGATGTGTCCTGCTTCCACCAACACCTCTGCCTCTGTGGATGAGCTCATTGCGGTGCTGAATGCAGTTCAAGGGCACATGGTAAGTCTTTTCATTCTTATCTCTGTTGATTATCTCTGATGTTGCTTTCTTAGTCTGACTTATTAACAGAGCTCATGGCTCATGGTAGCAGTCCCACTACCCATGAGTCTTGTCTCCTAGCCTCTTTATACAACATTTCTCAACAAATCCCAGCAGATTGACAGAGTTTCCTGTGGATGGGCTGGTTATGCCCTCCCCCAGATGGGAGTTGTCTTTATAGCAGGGTGAGTTGTTTTTGTCTTCGCTTTCTTTTATTCTTTTTAACTTCAAACTTTTGTGTTGCAGGAAGATTGGTTGAACTGAGAGTTTACGACTGCTGTGGTACCAACTACGACTGAGGGCCCTGCTGAGGATCAGATGCCTGCGCCACTATCTCCAGCAGCCCCTTCACAAGCCCCAGTGGTTGTCGAGCGTTCTTGTGAGACACCACTTTTCTTGCCATCGCCTTCACCACCACATGACCTCAAATGCCTCTTTTGCCATCTCAAACACTCTTGACCCATAGCCTCAGATAACAACTTGGACATTCAAATTATTGAGCCTCCTGTCATACATCAAGAGAAAGTGCTTGTTGGCCTGGTGAGTGACACTTAAGTTTTTGTTTCTGTCTTCTTATTTACAAACTTTTTTTTTTTTTTCTTAGCCAGGAAAACATCATAAAGTCATCGACAAACCTGCATCTGATGATGAATCCATCAACCTCCCTGACCAGTACCACAAACGATCCCAGTCCGTCATCCTTGTGAACCCTCCACTGCATCAGGATAAGGGGAAGGGTCGGGCTCAACCAACCCCTATGCCGACTCCTAACCATCGCATATCACTTCGTCTGGCTCAAGCAGCTGGTATGGTTTTGAAGGGACTGGTGGTTACTGAACCACCTGTTGTCCAACCTAAATGCTATGGTCGTCCACCAAAGCCTGGTAAGTTCTTGGTTTTAAAATTCTTGGTTCCTTTCAATTCTAACTTTCTTCTTATTCTAGAGCCTATAATTCTTAAAGACAAGTTGGTCTTTGACAAGAAAAGGTTTAGTAAGTCATTACTTTATCTTTTCCTTTTCTAGTAGCTCTTCTGACTTGTCTTTTTCCAGGGCACATCACCAAGCGATTTCATCTCAAAGAGTTTCCCTCATTGAAGAAAGCAGATGACCCTGTCCCCATGGTAAGTTTTTATTACTTCTTTTTCTTATCTGATATTAACACCTTTCTCAAAGATGCCAGAGCCATGTCTCCAATGCTCTGTGTGCAAGGCCTCTGCCATTGAAAACTGTTCATTCCGTGGCTGGGGGGTTCCCTGTGGACCATGCAATATGTCACATGTGTCTTCTTGTGAATACTACCTCACCGATGCTTTGCAAGGTGCGGCCAGGGATACTATTCAGAAGAGAGTCGCCATCCATGCACCCTCTGGTGAGTCTTCTCTTATTTCTCAAATTTTATAGTCATTCTTATGGACTTTTTCTTTTCTTTTTAGCCCTTGCCGACCTTCTGGATCAGATCAAGCAAGACGCCCTTCACCTTCGTACACTTTCCGCTATGGTCGAGTCCATCCGCCATTGTCATGATCTCAACCTTCGAGAATTTGCCAACTCCCTTTATGATTTGTTTTTCACAAGTGAGATCCTCAGTCTCTTTGGGACTCTCTTTTTGGGTTGGGACGAGGCTAACAAATGGCTTTGCTTTGCTGACCCGTACATTGGGAATGGTCAAGTTCTGGCCCCAGACGGTTCCAGTCGCATGGACTTGGATGATCTCATCATGCTTTACGATCGTGCCAAGGCTTTGCCAGTAGCAGGTCCTTCGTCAGGTGTCCATCAACGTGCTCGCCCATGTACACCTTTGCCACTTCAGTCACCCACCTTGACCAAGCTATTAGCTAATGGGATCTTATCCATCTTTTACATTATTTACTTTCCATTGCTTAGCTATTGTGTCACATGACTCCTTTTTATACTTGTCAGTAGTAGTCATAAATACTGAGCAATGACATGCATGGATAGGCATGGAAGTAATAGCACAAATAACAAACAAACATCTAACTCATCATGTGATACAGTCATGTGATAGGTCAGATAATGTGATCATGTGATAGATCATATGATCTGGTCATGTGATCTGTCTTTCCAGAAAAGATTTTGGCACTTACAATACCACCACTGCTATCAGAAAAAAAGGAGAAAAAATAATAAGCTGTTGTTGATGGCCTGTGCACATTTCCTATTATGGAAATATATCCAGAGAGTCAGACAAAAAGAGGAAAAAAAGAAATAGATACATGGTCTGTGTACATTTCCTAATATAATAATTTAATACAAATACAGCTAGAAAAATAAGAAAGGAAATTCAATTTAGCCAAAAAAATTAGAAGAAAAAGAGAAAAATAATGGACTGTTGTTGACAATATTGGGGTATTGTATACATGGTCTGTGCACATTTCCTAAAATGGTAATTAATACAAATATAGCTAGAAAAATTAGGAAAGAATTCACATGATATACATGGTTGTTGATAATGTTGATGTACTGTTACTTGGTCTGTGCATATTTCCAAATATGGTAATGAATGAAAATATAGCCAGAAAATCAGAAGAAAAAGAGAAAAATAATAGACTATTGTTAAAAATATTTAGATACCATATATATGGTCTGTGGACATCTCCTAATATGGTAAATGATACAAATATAGCTAGAAAAACAGAAAAGAAAATAGAAAAAGAATAGACATACCATCACAGCTGAATACAGAACGATCGGCCATGGCAGATCAACACATACATAGAGCAGACTCTCAAATGTTACTGTGGTACTATGGTGACATCAATTTGGAGGTTGAAATTTGACTCATTGTGAGAACTTGGTGAGAACTCAGCAGCCTCAGCCATCACATCGCTTTGAAATTTTGACAGTCTGCTCTGTGCATGTGTTGGTCTGGTGTGGCCTATCATTCTGCATTCAGCTGTAACTGTTATTGACAATGTTGGTGTATGGTGCACATGGTCTGTGCATATTTCCAAATAAGGTAAATATAGCCAGAAAATTACAATAAAATACAAGAAACATTAAATAAAATATTAGATGGTAGTCACTATTGGTTATAATGTTGCAGAGCTGAAATCAGAGTGAAGGAGGCAAGATTACTATTTTAAATGAAAATCATTTATAAAATGTGGTAAAAATGAGAAAAAATAGGACTTGTTGTTGGGTACTGTTGTCAAGGTCTGAGGTCTATATCTAAAAAAGGAAATTCAAGTATTTGTAATAGAGAGATCAGAATTCTAGGAGATTCTAGCCATTCCTGCAGAAATAGGTGGGGCACAGTAAAGTACTGGTAGTCAGAAAGAAATTTAACATGTCATTATGGTCAACAGATATGAATACATCATATCATATTATATCATATTATACATATTTATAACTTCAGACACTGATAATCCTCAGAGCTCTCTGCAGTCTTCAGAAATATACCTCTATAAAAGTGAAAAAAAAAAAAGCTGGCATAGTCAATCTGACAGTTCCCAAACTCTCTCTAGTCTTCAGGAACATACTTCTACCACAGTGAAGAAATATGGCTCACACATCAGCCAATATTTAATTCTGGTAAATTGCAAGAAGAATAGACATCAGTAATAATTCAGTAAGTAAGGCTAGTCTATTATAGGTAGTTATTAATATACACTCAACATAAGAGCAGTCAGTAACAACCTTTATTATCTGATAGAGCAGAATTTAGAGGGTATAACTGTATAACAAATAGTTGAATACCAATAGATAGAGCTGAATGCAATATATAATCTGGTTTTTCTATAATAAAAATACAATATAAAGTAAAAAGGCAAGTTTAGGACCAAAATGATCTTTATGATAAATTTTGTAGAAAAGTTGAATCCAGAAGATAAAAGTTTGAATGGTCAGAAATTTTTGAAGTTTTTTTTTTTTCAAACTAGGACCCCAGATACTCCGTGACACTGGCAGGAAATTTTTTGCCTATGTGACATGGCTAAAACATTTCCGAGTAGTGTGACATGGCTAAAAAATTTCTTAGCAGTGTGACATGGTTCAAAAATTTCTTAGCAGTGTGACATGGCTAACACATTTTTCAGCAGTGTCACAGCTAAAAAAATTCCTACCAGTCTGAAACACTTCAAATATTTCCTACCACTCTAACATGCTTCAAACATTTCTGACCACTTTCAGATGGCTAGGATATTTTTCAATACAATATATCAACCCAAATATTTCTGGTCACAATATTCAAGGTCAAACATTTTTGTCCAATGCAATAATATATTTTCCTCCAGAGGCAAAAAAATAAATGGCCAAAGGATCTAATAGCCTGGATAATTTTTCAAGATTTCCTAGCTAATAGCTTGGTCAAGGTGGGTGACTGAAGTGACCGTCTGTCTCATCCACAAACCTCTGCCACTTCAAAAGGTAGTGCAGGGACGTCAGCAAATGGCGAGTTTGCGTGTTTATTCCAAATCGACTGTCTGTCTCATCCACCAACCTCCGCCACCACGAAAGGTAGCACAGGGACATCAGCAAATGGAAAATTTGCACGTTTATTCCAACTCGACCATCTGGCTTGTCTGCAAACCTCCGCCACCATGAAGGGTAGCATGGGGACATCAGCAAATGGCGAGTTTGCATGTTTATTCCAACTCGACCGTCCATCTCATCCTCAAACCACCACCATGAAAGGTAGCACAGATATGTCAGCAAGTTGCAAGTTCTTACATTTATTCCAACTCAAACCTGTGTCCCTGTCCCATGATCCTATTACGGCAGAATCCAGCTCCCCCTCACCTCCTTCCTCTTCTTCCTCTTCTTCAGCATCGCCAAGTCATATTGAGGCAAAGCTCCCACCCCCAAAGTGGTTAGACACATGTAGCCCTGAGTTGAGGTCGCTTTTGACCGAATTTGTTCCCAATGTCACCACTCCGGCAGGTATTCTCTGGGGTCATGCCAATTCCCTCAGGCAGAGCCACAATGAAACAGCTCACAGAATTGTGAAAAATTTGCAGGCCAGACACGTCCTTTCAAACCTGGCAACTCAATTGCAGACATTAATAATGGTTCATCGCAGTGGCTCCTTTCAGGAGTGTTTCCCAATGAGGTAAACATTGTTTCCCTCTGAACTTTTACTCTTGTCCAAACTTGTCACCCTCTTCCTCCCCCAACTTTTCTGAGTATCCAAGATGGTCTCTCCCTTCCTCCCCAACTTTCCCAAGTATCCCTCCTTTGTAAATATTGTCCCCCCCTCCCCCAGCTTTTCCAAGTATTCAAGATGGTCTCCCCCTTCCTCCCCAACTTTCCCAAGTATCCCTCCTTTGTAAATATGGTTCACCACTTGCTCCCCAAACTTTTTTAAGTATTCACTTGTTGTAATGAATTCCACTTCTAGTAAGGAGACTTTTGAATTGTCAACATTGTTGAAATTTGCACCAAGGTCTTGAAATTCCATGATTTGTGAATTTGGCACCCAGGACTTGAAAGTCTACCCAAGATTCCAAATTTAGTGCAGAGGTTTTTTTCATTTTCGCCGCACAAGTTCAGTCCAGAATTTTCAAAATTCCCACTTAATCTGAAAAAGTCAAGAGGCAAAATTGAATAAGTGGGGAGACTTTCATTTCCCCCCCCCCATTTCTCTTGCTGAGCAGAATTGTGAGTGGATAATTTTATTGCCACCTCCTGCTTTTTCAAATGAACCTTTTGAGTTCCGCTGCCAGAGATTTCTCATTTCTGCGTGGTGGGGAGCATTTGGAATTCTGCCACACACTGTTTTGAATGTTGAACGTTAAACATCCACAATCCACGGCCACCCCATCAACCAACCCTCTCAAGTCCAAGGTCACCCTCAAATCATCGTCTACAACCACCTCTCCACATTTGCACAAGGACCAACCACCAGATGAAAGACCTGGGGATGTTCACTAGACACGAACCCTAACATGGTAAGCTAAGCACTTCATCTGCATCATCCCTCATTGGATCATCCATGCCAACAGCACCACCACCAAATGTTTGACCTGGCATGCCAATGGTCCATTTGGGCATGCCACATCGAGCACCAACAGTCCATCTGGCGTGTGAGCGTCAACAGTGACACCAAGAGCCCACAACAAGGGACTGCAACGACGGTTTACCACCACCACCCTCCACCAATGACGGCGACCGCCCACCATCACCCACCCGACGCACTGCCCGAGTCCTAGTGTTTAAAGGTTCAGTCCATAGAACCGCAAAAAACCGGTGGACCAAACTGAACTGGACCATGGTCTGGTCTTTTTTTCGGTTGCAGTTGCCCCAATTTGGGGTTGGTCCAGTTGCCGGTTGCCTCATTTCGAAAATCTTTTAAAACTGTTCAAAGACCGGTTTTGATCGGTTGCAACCGGTTAAACGGTCATGTGCGTTACATACCCTTGTAACCACGTTTATTACCTTTTATTGGATTTTTGTTTCATCAAAAACGGTTATGAATTGAGAAAGATATAACCAAATCCATATTTTACCCAAGTCTCTAGGAGATGTAATTCGGTTTCAGTCATAGCTATGTCAAATCTTCATTAAATCTCTTACAAATTGGTAGAATGACGGATATTTACATGCTTTACTATTTTATATAAGCCGTTTATTTTTCAGAGTAATAATAGTCGAGATATAAATGGTTTATATTGGTATAATAAATTATACGCAAAAAAACCGGTCTGGATCGGTCTCAACTGGCTCCATAGACCGCAAAAGACCGGTCCTAGGTGGTTCAGTTCGGTTCCCTCAATATCTGGGTCAGTCCTAGACTGGTTGCGGTCCACGGTTGCGCATTTTGGGGGCAAAAAACCAGACTGAACTGAACTTGCAAACACTACCAAGTCCCATCATCAGCCAGCCAGCACATCCAAAACCAGCCCAGTGGCCACCATCACCACATCCAACAACCACCACATCCAACACCTCTGGTGCTGAGCATCGATCATCACTTGTTGTCAAGGGTACATCTTCCTCCCCCTCCTTTGAAATGTGATGCACTGTTGCCAAATCGAAGTTATCCAGCAACTTCTTTCCTTGATTTCAACAGTTAAGAGTCCAAAGGGAAGGGCAGGGTATCGGGAAGTTCATGAGGCACAATCTTCGAGCTGGTGAGTTTACCTTACCCTACAGGAGTGCCCCGTCATACCTAACTGGATTTTCTAGGCCTCTTGCCAACATATACGCCAACCTCTTCGTATGTTTCCCATGTCCCGTCACTCGAATGACAATGGGCGACAAGCGCCCATCACCAACGCCAGCACCAACCTAGGTGAAGTAACATAACCCCTCCCCCAGTAACTGTCCTTGCCCCCTCTTCTGCTCACTCATCTCCCTTTCTCCAGCTGATGCAAATTGTATGCAGAAACTGATCCCAGGTAAGTCTATGGCTCTTCCCTCTCCACACCTTGCTCTGACAAGCGACGATCACAGATGTCATCATGCTTCATTGACCACAACCACGACGGACGGCCATGCCACCATGACAGACGAGCACGAAGCAACAACCACTACAACAGACGACCCCAGCCATGACCATGGACAACGACGTACTGCCACAGACACCAACCTACCACCAACCATGACCACGATGCATTACAATGTCAATGGACTACCACAATGTGAAGACGAAATGATGGACAATGGGGCCCATGACCAGACAACAACAACAACACTGGACCAACACAACACAACCACCCTACCAAGACTAGAACAGGTGACGATGACCCAGCACGTACCACGATGATGTGAAGACGAGTGGACTCCATGCGTCCATCGCGACAGCATCCCCTCCCTGACTTCAGTAGTCCTCTTCAAAGCTCCGCCAATTGTCGCCCTCGATCTTGAAAAGGAAGTCATTGTCGAAGGGAGGGTGCAGACTTTGTTCATTCTGGGATTGCAAGGGATTGCACAATGTAGATTGTCGGATCAGGATAAGTGGAGCCATCACGACGATGACCACCCCCACGATTTACCTCCTTTTGCTTAATCTCCATAAGTAGATCCTTTATTATATTATTTTTATCATTTTCTTTTCCCTGTGCATCGTGTGGTAGAGTAGCTACACTTTTTCTCTCAAAATTCAGTTTGTTTACATCTGTGTACCAACAGCGTCTTAGGCCCCAATGTCATCCAAAAAGGGTTTGTTGCATCCAGCTATTTCAGTCTGATTTGACAGAGGGAAGTGGTCTGAACATATTCAAGCATATATTTGGTGAAAATTCAGAGGTTGTTTCTATGATGAACAAAGCTGTAGGACATATATTTCTCCTCAGAACTAAAACTGTGCATTGTTGACAATTGTGTACCAAAGGCATTGAAAGGCCCAAGGTCATCTGAAATGGATTTGTCGCATCCAGCCTATTTTGGTCAGATTTGACAGAGGGAAACTATTTAGGAGTGTCAGAACATCATCAAATATATATATGGTAAAGTTTCAGGTGTTCTTTGTAGGAGAAACAAAGCTGTGGGAACATAAATGTCTCCCCAGAATTAAATAATAAATATGTACCCATATAATATCAACAATACCTCTTCCCACCCACCCTACAGCAAGCTGTGCATTAACCCACATCCTGACCAAGTGGTCAAATGCACTCCCTATGGAAATGAATAAAGTGCATTATTGCAGGGTATAAGGCATAGGGCTACAGCCAAGGGTGCACCCAAACGACGAATGGTATCATCCCAAGACACCATGGCGACAATGCGATGACAGGACAACAAGGACATGCAATGAGCGCATGACAACAAGCACATGCCAAGACTTGGTGACGACGAAGACATGCTGAGAACGATGTGATGTGCAGGACGACGAACAGCAAAGAGGCTCAGTAGTCCCCACCACTTCCTCCATCACTCCCCACTACATCCCCCCTCCCTCCCTCCCCCCTCTCTCCCTCCCTCCATCCTAGTGATTGTCACGGGTTTCAGAACCCGTGCGGGTTGCGGGTAAGGGTATGTGCGGGTAGGGGTACGGGTTGGATATTTCTAACCCTCGGCGTACCCGTACCCTCAGCACAGGTTGGCGGGTTACCCGCCATGTGAACGGCGGGTTTCAATAGGAGTTTCAATTGTGATCAAGCGCTTGATTGTCACGACTACCTGTACTCCACGAACGACGATGGATTCGTCGTTCATCGTCGTTCACTGCCGCTGCGTCCACTGTCACCAACCACTGCTGCCCACAGCTATTATCGACCACCCACCCCCATAACACACACCAACGAGGACAGCGATGACATGGCAAGGCCACGTCATAAGCCTCAGCAACTGAACGAGCGCGCGGCGTGTCGACAGGGCGTGGTGAAGACGACATGGCACGTCAAACTAACCGATGCCTACAAACAACAAGCGATGATGGCGAACAACGACGACAATCGTCGACCCGTCCCTCCACAGTGAGAAGGGCAGAGGGGTGGAATGGTGATGAGGACGAACAACGACGATAGATGAGGACGAGGACGGCAATGACGGACAACGCATGCCGTCGTCATCATCAAGTCTTTGAGGTATGTACTGTGACTTGCCTCTCTAATTACCCTCTTTACATGAAATGCAGGGAGCACATCGCTGTCGGCGACATTGCAATTTTACGATGCAAATCAACCAATGCCTACAAACAACGAGCGACGACGGCGAACAAGTTTTGTCAGCCTCAAGGCAGCCAATTATGAGTGTCATAGGCTCCCTCGTCAAGTCTGGATGCACAGAGGTCAAGGTCAAGAAGTGTCGTACAAGGGTACGTCGAGCAAGGTTTGCAGAGGTGGTGCCTGGGGTTGTGTTTATTGTTGAAGTGCACATGTTGGATACTGAGACCACGGTGAGTACTTACCCCCAGTCCACGTTGGTCCCTACCCACCTTGCTGAGACACAGGACAACAATGGAATGACGACGTGGGACAACGACGACAAGGGACAGTGACAGCCTGATGAGGAAGACACAGGACAAGGATATGGGATGAGGACACGACGAGGACACAGGACGACTATGATCCGACGACGAGGACAACACACAACAACAACAACGAATGACGGTCTACGGCCAGGTGAGCAACATAACCCCTCCCCCTCTCCCCTTTTTAACGTGAGAAGCAGAGACTCAACCCTCCAACAACGTTACATACTACTCTTCATCTTTGCCACATCATTAACCCTCGCCACAGCCCTCATACATCAGCCACTCTCAGCAGTCCCATTCCACAAGATATTCTGTTTCTCCCGTGCAGCCTCATGCCTCGCAGCCACCCAAGTCTTCGCATCCCCCTCTTACACCTTCTGGCCATGCATTCGCTGTGGGTGTGCAGAACATATCAAGCTACCTTTATCTCCCTGCATCGTGTACTGCCCTGATAACAAACCGTTCCCGGAGCAGGTTCAAATTCGTCGTAGCGGTCTAGTTAGAGTTCCAGTAAGCATAACAATCATGCTTTGTCGAATTGGCGGCTGATGTACCATCCAGCAGCCTCCCATCTTGAACACGGGGAACAGAGGGCTTATTTCTCATGTATGTTGCATAGCATCTCTTGCAGTTGGAGTTTGAGGAACCTCCACCACAATGCTCAAGACAATCGTCCAATCGTCGTTCGTCGTCCTTACGAATTTTATGTCTGTAACTACATGTTTGTTGTACAAACCCGTCAGACCCGCCAGACCCGCTAAACCCGCCAAAACCCGAACCCTTACCCGCAGAAACCCCTACCCGTGGTTGAGGGTACGGGTTTTCATGGGTAGGGGTCCGGGTATGGCCGAAAGTACCCGGGGGTTACCCGTGACAATGCCTACTCCCTCCTCTCTCCCTCCCTCCCCCCTCTCTCCCTCCCTCCCCTCCATTCCCCTCCATCACTCCCTCCTCCCTTCATCACTCCCTCCCCTCCCTCCCTCCTCCATCATTCTCCCCTCTATCACTCCCCACCACACTCCCCTCCCTTTAACTAACACTATGTAGTAGCATAGATTTATGTAGTTCTAGTCAATACAGTTGAATTTTCCATGTTCAGATCTAAATAACATAAGCAATTCTTAGAATTATAACATACACTAACTGGGAAAAAAGAATGTCTGGTCATTTTTTGGACAAAGTTGGTGCTGTAACACAAGAACCAAACATTTTCAGAACTAAGCTCTGGTGTATGAGACATAGCTAAGGAGGTGTAGATTGTACATACCAAGTCTGGGGATGAATGAATGAAAACTCAGGATAAGGTAGAGCATTCACTGTGACAACTCCAAAAATGGGATTTGTCAAAATGGGAAATTCTGAATGACTGCAACCTACTGGAAGCAATTCAGAATTTGAAGCAGGAATATTTTGAACACTCAATCTCCCTGCTATTGTCATAAGCCCCATAAAGTCTCTGAGATATAAAATTCTATAGTCTCCCCAAAAAAGTGAATTTGAATTGATTCCCCTCCTTGGACATTTGCAGTTGCAAATATTGCCCAGGATTGATAGGAGAAGGTATCTATTGGAGGTCTTATCAGTGCCCCCCTAATTCCTGGAGGATTCCGGTCATTTCTGTGGATTCCGGTGGATTCCGGAGGAGTGAAATTTAGCAGAGAGGCCTGCTATTTTCTCCATTCCGGTGCTTTACCATTCCGGCGGAATTTCGGCATTCCGGAATTGTGACCGGAATGGTCCCCGGATTGGCAAAATCGAGTTTAAAATTATTTTTACTATAGTCTAATCGAGGCACACGGGTGCCTGGGGACGAAACCGCATCTCCTCTCCCTGAGATGACGAGGTGCACGGGCGCCTGGGGACGAAACAACATCTCCTCTCTCCCCGAGATGGCCTGGTCTCACCTCAGAGACTAGCGATCCAATTCCGCGAGGGGTATTTATTGCATAGCAAGTATTGTCTCGCACTTCTTCCCTCTTTCCTCACTCGAGATACATTCCCTCGCATCGCTCTTGTTCGCGCTCACTTATCAACCTATGGTTGCATCAGACAAGTCTTCAATTATTCTATGGCTACCAGCAATGATACTCTCAATACTCCTATTCCTTCTGATCCTTCTCAGTCAGTCCTCGGGAATGAACAAGGTCCAAATCAAAATCAAGGAGATCAAGAACTACGTGAAGAAGGCCAACCTCAGATTCAAGACCAAAATCCTGAACAGGACGACAACGAGCAGGATGACCCAAGCTTGCCTGGGAATTTCCCGGCTGCGAACGCCGTCCTCGCTTCGTGTAACTCTGTCCTTGAGGACTTTAGATCATCGCGGATTCCTAAAGCTACTGCGCTATCCAGAATCTACACTCACTTACTTGATGGTATTCCGGACAATGACAATTCCTTTGCTTCAACTGTTGAAGAAGCGTTTGCTCGCTACCTCACTATTGTCGAGAATCATCAGCATCACCTTCGGGAAGCTGAGCATCGCGGTGGACGTCGACAGCGATCGAAAACTCCACCAGACAATCATGTTGAAAGAGGGAACCCAGGCCCTGACAATGATCAATCACCCCATAAGCGTGCAAAACCAGACGAAGCTCAATATCCCTGGATCATATCCGACTTTATCCACCGTGTCACTTTATCACCATCGCTTACAAGCACGCTTGAGTTACTTAAGCTCTACGCAATTGATCCAAAAGGGATGAAGCGTTCTCTCGTCAATTCTCCGACATGTCCTGAATTCCCAGACTCCGAATGGACTAACATTCTCGCAGGAAGAGCCATCAATCTTGATGCTGTCCTCAGTGGTTATTACTCGACGTCCAACAACGATGAGTGGGTGGAGGAGATTGGGGATCTTGAAATATGCTTCGGTACGGTCAACCCGACAAAAACAGTCTCAACAGCTGGTGAATGGAGCATTGCATGGAATAGGGCATCACGAGCGACATCTACTGCTTTCCCTCACAGAGCCGGAGAGCTGGCAGAATATGCTGAGTATATCATTGGACTCTTTGCTGCGACTGATGCCCATTTCCATGATCGTGTTATCCTCTTCGACAAAGCTGTACGGTGTCGTGTTGGTGCTCGCCGGGACCTGGAGCTCACGGACTTCAACAAATTCTCGGATCTCAGATCAACTCACATGGACTCGATTGGTGCCGCCGTTGTTCAACGGGCATCTCTTGCTGTCAATAATAAATCCAATTCAACCTCTCGGAAGAAGATACCCGAACCATGCAACCGTTGGAACGAGGGGTTATGCGCGCTTGAGGCTACTCAGTGTCGCCGACTTCACGTTTGTAACAAATGCACGAAATCCGGACACAAGGGGCCCGACTGTCCATCTTGATTTTTCTTGTTTTTCGCTCCCACACTCGTTTATCACATATCCTGTCAACAACCTAATTCAGCCCCCTCGAGTTCAGCTGGGGGTCATCCTAAAATGATCAACATCTCTCGCGGCTCTCGTCAACCCCATCGAGAGCCGTGGTCATTAGACCGTCTTGTGTACGAACGGTCTATTGCTTTGGGGTTTACTATCGACAATTCAACTCACCTTACCTACACCTCCGCACTCAATTCATATCTCACATTCTGCAAAATCCACAATTTCCCCATAGAACCCACTGAAGAAACCTTCAGCTTTTTCATCGTATATATGTCAACACATATCAAACCTGACTCAGTCAATTCATACCTCTCAGGCATCTGCAACCAACTCGAGCCTTTCTTCCCCGATGTTCGCAAGCGGCGAGGAAGCATTCTAGTTTCTCGAACTCTTGCCGGATGCCGACGTCGCTTTGGAACGCCCATCCACCGCAAAAGACCCTTATCAAAAACCGATTTAGAAACCGTGATATCTCATATCGGCACCTCCCTGGATCATGATGAAAAATTATTCCTCGCTATCTTACTTACCGGATTCCATGGTCTCTTGCGACTTGGCGAGTTGACATTTCCTGATAGAGTCGACTCTCGTGACTATCGCAAAGTCACCCTACGCCATACCATCAAGATATCAGCTACATCCTACTCTTTCTTGCTGCCTGGCCATAAGGCCGACCGCTTTTTTGAGGGGAATACTATCATAATCCAAAAAACAAACCTTCCATCCAACCCACACAAATTTCTCCTGTCATACCTCGCCTCGCGAGATCATCTCCACCCCTTCAAGCCTGAATTATGGTTACGTAAGTCTGGCATTGTGCCGACACGTTCCTGGTTCATCAAAAAACTTCGCCGATTTTTCCCCTCTGACATTGCAGGGCAGTCAATGCGCGCCGGAGGTGCCACATCATTAGCTGAAGCTGGGGTTTCACCCGATATCATTCAAGCCACAGGACGTTGGGCGACGGATACTTTCAAGATTTACATCAGAAAAAATCCCGTCCTTCTCCAAGCCATGCTCTTTGGTCGACCTGCTCACCAACCTGCATCTGTTTCATAATTTTCCGAACATTTCTCTTATTTTTTTATTTTTTATTTTTTTCTGACTTTGTAGTACTCTTTTTATGGACTTTTCAAGCCTAGGACACTTACATCAACATCCTCAATTTTCCGGCACCTCACAAACATCCCTCTGTCTTCCACTCCACTCAACTTCTTATACTTCAACTTTACTCATCCCTCCCTTCCCTCCCCTTTTAACATCTTCAATAGGTATAATAGGACATTGGTACCACAAAATGGACATCCTAGCAGGTTCTCCAGCTGCGCGGCGCACCTGGAGAACTCTGCTTTTGCCTATTTACATATATATAAGGTTTCGGACACTTCACCCTCACTCGATTAGTCGAGTTTAAAATTATTTTTACTATAGTCTAATCGAGGCACACGGGTGCCTGGGGACGAAACCACATCTCCTCTCCCCGAGATGACGAGGCGCACGGGCGCCTGGGGACGAAACAACATCTCCTCTCTCCCTGAGATGGCCTGGTCTCACCTCAGAGACTAGCGATCCAATTCCACGAGGGGTATTTATTGCATAGCAAGTAGTGTCTCGCACTTCTTCCCTCTTTCCTCACTCGAGATACATTCCCTCGCATCGCTCTTGTTCGCGCTCACCCACCCTCCTGCTCCCTTTACCTTTTGTTGCATGTATTATATAGGACATTGGTACCACAAAATGGACATCCTAGCGGGTTCTCCAGCTGCGCGGCGCACCTGGAGAACTCTGCTTTTGCCTATTTACATATATATAAGGTTTCGGACACTTCACCCTCACTCGATTAGACGGAATGCAACCGGAATCCGGTTTGTTTGGCACAAGCCCATTGCCAAACAATTGTTTGTTTGGCAACGGCTTTCACGCTCATCCAAATACAACCCTCTTCTCTCCCACCACCACTAACCTCTCCTCCCACCACCACCAACGTCCCCGCTCCTCGTAAACGCGCGCCCGCTACCCACCCACGCCACGTCACCACGGTCAGCTGTGGCCACCACCGCCCACAAACGTCGTCGACCGCCAACAACGACCACATCAACAACGCGGCAACGCCACGTCAGCAAGCAAACGAGCCCCGGCGAGGTCGAGGGGACGAAAACGGACCACGAGGGACGACCACGACGACCATGACCACGCCCACGAACCACGACACGCCCCACGACGTCAACGGACGCCCACGTCAAACGCCAACGGACGCCCACGTCAATGGACCACGACCACGTCAACGGACCACGACCACGCCAGCGGACGACGACCACGCCAGCGGACGACCACGTCAACGCACCACCACCTCAACGGACGACGACCACGCCAGCGGACGACCACGTCAACGCACCACCACCACGTCAATGGACGATGACCACGCCAACGGACACCCACGTCAACGCACGACGACGTGCCCCCGCCGATGGGAAACCAAGGTGCCACGTCGCTGTCAGCGATGTGGCAACCAAACGACGAACGACGACGACGACGTCGTCGTTCGTCGTTCACACAAAGGTGAGTCCCCTGACTCTCCTTCATCCTATCCCATCTCGCTAACAGCCACCACGACATCACACGACGACGACGAGTGCATTGTCCCTCCCCCTTCCCTGTCCCTCCCTTCCTTTTCCTGCCCCTCTTCCCTGTCCCTCCCCATTTCCATGTACTCCCATCCCCCTTCCCTGTCCCTCCCCATTTCCATGTACCCCCTTTTCCCTCCCCCCTTTCCTGTCTGTCCCTCCCCATTTCCTTGTCCCTACCTCCTTCCCCCATTTCATTGTCTCTGCCCCCTTCCTTTTCCCTGCCCCCTTCCCTGTCCCTCCCCATTTCCTTGTCCCTGCCCCTTATCCATCCCCTTCTTTAATATGCACTGTATGTAGTAAAATAGACTCATGTCATTAATAAAATACATTAAAATTTGATTTATTGAGATGAATGACTTGACTAGAAGTGAATTTTATAAGAAATTCTGAGTATTGAGTTGAATCAATGCAGATTAAGTCACCTGACCTCTAGATCAGTGCTGATCCATTCTGATTGTAGATACTCTGATCAGAGCATGTGGGGGAGGGTAAAGTACTGCTATTTATGGTGGATTGTGGTCTTATTCAACTGGAATCGGATTCCGCAGGACTCCGCTGGATTCCACTGGATTCCAGTCCCATTCCTGCGGATTCCGCCGGAGTCCAGTCCCATTCCACCGGAATCCACAGGAATGACCGGAGTCCGACAGGAATAGGTAGGGCACAATAAAGTACTGGCTGTTCCCCAAGGTTTCGGGACAGGTGCCTTGTTCAGCCCCTGATGGAGGCTGAAAACATAGTTAGAAAGTCGCGTCAATAGCAGAGATAACAAGCAACCAAGTACCTCATAATATTGAGAACCCCCTTTTTCATCGGCTCAGGTCCCCCCAATAAAACCGTGATGTGCATCCCCAGAGCTTGTCCGAGTCCATGTACTACCGGGCCCAAGACGTTCGGAAGCTTGTTGAGAGCTCTGATGGAAAAAAGTCAACGCCACGACAAACATACGAAACAAAGGAACGTACAGCTGAGCCTCTTTTGGAGGCAACAATTCAGGTAAGTTGTCCCTGAGGTTCTGATAGGCGTCCTTCACCTCCTGATGGTCTTTCTTTGCCTTGTCGTTCCACAACTCTTGTTCCTCCTCGCTCAACTTCTCAAACTCAAGTTTCTTGAACTTATTGCACTCGGACGCGCATTGAGCTTCTGGCTTCCCCCCCGCTTGGAACGATTCGTCGAATGCTGCCTTCATGGATGGGAAGTTCGCTTTCCCCCACACCGCCCATCCAGTAGTCAGCTTGGAGGGGCCTGAGTCTGTACCGAGCAGCCTATCGAGAAGAATGGCTGCTGGATTGGCGGCAGCTGACTTGGGACATTTTTTAGAGGCTCGTTTTGTGCAGCGATCGAACCAGTTAGTGAGCGACTGCAGATGGGATGAATTGAGCGATGAGATCGAATAATATGCTGACCCACTTACAGTGCGCATTCGTTCGATGACTTTGCCTTTTGTAGCGCTGTCCTCATCAGGTAGGCGCTCGAAACCACCTTCACCGAGAGGCACGCGTGGTTGGATGACGTCCGGATCCTCCTTGACAGTAAGAGTCCAGTGGAATTTCGCAAACCATGCATTCACGGTTTTGTTGATTAGATCCGAGCACGCCTCACAGTTAGGGTGGGTGAGCGCAGCATTGTAATTGTCAATGTAACCGTTTAGGAACTCGAGGCGAGCACCTTTCGCCCAGTTGCGTGTCAAGGGCTTAAGTAGTGGCTGTGCATCGACCCTGCAATGTTGATGGGCTCACGCTCAGCATTCAGCATGTAACATCATCAACTCGACTTACAAGGTTTTAGGCTCCTCGACGCTGGAGCCGACGGCAGCCATATCAAACTTTTAAGGTGGGGAATCGCACAATGGATGGTATCGCCAACCGTACGTACTTATCAGTTGTTTGGCCAACCGTCAAAAAGCTCATTTACGTTTTTTTTCTGCTCTGGAAGGCACTGGAACCAACAGCGGCCATGGCAAGGTCTTAGGGTGGGCAATTGCACTACCAAAGGTATCCAAAGCACGTCTTTTGTTGATTATTTGGCTAAACGTCACTCATTTTACGTTTTATCCGCTGTGGGAAGGAATCTGAGAAGACAGTTTTCACTCCAGTTATAAAGGTGTCGCCCTTTCTTACCCCCCACCATCTTCAACTACACTACCAGTCAAATTTTCAACGACATCACCGTCTACGCTACTCTACGATGGCGCAACTTTCTGCAAATGGTGAATCAGACCGTCCCGATTCCCCCTTATCAGTCGAAGGTAAAAGGCTTGCTTTCCCCACTTCCATTTTCCATTACTCACCCTACTCTAGCCATCGAAGAAAGCTTCAGAAGCCTCAGACTCATGCCTAACCTCACGTCGGCAATCATCCAAGCCCTCCTCAACATCTCAATCGCGGATGCCACAGCTTCCTCCCTCGACAATGCAACCCCAATTGCCACCACTCAGACGTGCGGCGCGGAAAACCGTGACACCTTTTCCGTGCCAGAAACATACAGAGAGGAGGCGGTGACTACTGCTCCAGCAACCTTTCGTGTTTTGTCTCCTGCTGTGGCCGCTGCTCCCATTGTGATCAGACACGCTGTTTCCACTCCTGCTGCACGCGATGTTCTCGCTCCTATTGCCAATCCCGCTGCAATCCAATCCATCGTTTCATCTGCCATTGTAACCGCCACAACCGCACAGATCGCGACGCCGACTGCAGATGCACCTGTTGCGGTTCCCGGCGCAGGATCCGCTGTTGTTACTCTGGCTACAGCTGCTCCCACTGTTGCAACCCAAGCCACGCTGACTGGAGCCGCGTCTGTTGTTGCAACGCCTACCGTTGGGACGCCCACTGTGGCCGCGCCAACCTCAACGACGGCTCCTGCGGTCAATTACCATTTGCCCGCTGCCGGAGCTGCAGGACCCTATTACTGCGTTACTCGCGGGAGGGACATTGGTGTTTACGCAGGGTGGTAAGTTTTAATCGTCATGGCACGCGGAGATTTGACTTACATCTCGATAGGGAGCATGTTTCTCCCCTCGTCATTGGGGTCTCGCGTGCAGTCTTTGGCCGCGTCGACAGTATTCAGGAAGGGCAGAATCACATGGATGCAGCAGAGAGCGCTGGGCTCACGGCGAGACTCTGATCTAGTGGCGCGATGTCGATATATCTTTCCATATTTTGTAGCCCCATCTTGTAGCCTACCTTACCACACGAAGTCCTGTCGTCTCCTTTTCATGTAGTGGTAATGGTCTCCGAAAAAAAAAAAAAAGTGCAGTTCACCCCCCCACCTTGCTAGCCCGTAACCATATTGACTCAACGAACGATTCCATGGACATGAAATGCCAGGTGTTCCTGAAATAGAAATCCTCCATAAGAAAGAAACAAAAGTTCAATGAGCTCCAGCGCACTCAATTCTTGATCCTGCCATTAGAAATTTTGAATATGGGCCCTCGAGATACTCAAGAATGTAATGGCCAAAAGATTTGGGTGGTACATGTAGTCTAGTATAAAAGTCAGAAGAATGCTTGGTAGAGACTGCTAGATTGCAATTTACAAGTAGTGAATTACGATGACCTTCTATTGCTTTCAAGCGGCCTGAAACCTCTCCAAAGTCTTTCCCCCAAAAAAATACATATTTCGAGAGTGGTTTACCAAGGCTTTCCACCTATGGCATCCACTTATTTTATTTCAACGAAATGCTTTCACAAAGCACAATAAATCATACGAAGATGTAGTATATACACTTGTTTATCTGGCAACATTTCACTTGCATTTCACGCGTCCAAGCTCATATCTACGCCGGCATGGGTCGTCTTCGTCTGCACAGTACTCCGGAGGAGAAGGTTTCTGCGAGGCGTGAGAGCTGCAAAAAATATTATGAAAAGTGAGTCTATCTCGTTCTATGGAAGTGCGGCGCTCACAAATACCTCAGAAACAGAAAGAAAATCTGCCGTCGGTCGCGTTATCAATACCAAAAGAAAGTCAAGGAGGATCGGAAGCAGAAATCTTCCAAACTACAGAAAAACAATGCATCAGAACTAGCACCGCCAGAGGAACTCATGTAAGTTCCCCACTTGTCCCAACGAAACAACCCTGACTCGGCCTCAATACTAGTGAAGATCCCTTGACATTCGTTTCTCAGTCTAAAATTCATTTCGACCACATGACCAATGGCTCAATGTACGACTACGTCGACCTTATTGTTAATGCTTGCATCGAACATCCGGATCTTGCCCTCAGGATTTTAGAGGAGCAAGGCAAGGTCTGGATGGAATTCATCCTAGGCCTTCACCAAGCGCTCGACAGCATTCTTCAAGAATATGGATGTGGAGAAGAGTGGAAAGGGGCAGACCTAGTAGTGAAAGATTTCCGGCACGTTCTCGCACTCATCGAGGATGTCCACGCCCATGCGCTCACTGCCCTGGATGAGATGGCTGACTGGCGTGAAAGTGGCATCTATGGGTACCAGATCTGCCGGGAAGTCAAGGATGCGTAATTACAACTCTATCTCAATTATTTACTGAGCCCATCTAGCATTCTCGCTTGTATCATGCCTGACTGTGCAGCAATCCACAAATTTTGGTATGTATCAACTGTATAGTTGAAATCCGATAAGGTTTAGTTGTAGGTAATGATATTACCACGTGCTGTCGCCTCAACCTTCCAACTTCTACCATGTCCAAGCGTTCAATCCGACCCAAGGTCACTGTTATCGTCGCTCCTGAGATCTCGTTTAAGGTCCCGAGCCGGAAGCTAAAGGACCCTGAACCTGAGGTATGTACTTATGTTTAAAATAGATTGTGTTGACCCTGACATAACGATCGATCACAGATCTCAATTTTCCGTGACCTTGGCATTTACCTCTCTCGCCGAAATAAGCGAGCGGTTCAAGTGAAACTCTTGAAACTGCTGCTTCCCAGTTTCTTCGCAGTGTACGAACAGGGGCAAACCCAGGCCTTTTTTGAGCGCGCATACCAAGTCTGGTTCCTACGTTTTCCCAACCCCGAGCATCAGATTACGGTGGAGGAGAGCTATGGCGAAGATCCTGAGTACACAGAATTCATTTGCAAGCAACGTGAAAAGGTATGTATTAATTGTTCTCAGCTGGACGCGCCGCTTACATACCAATTATTCAGTGGCTAAGGGGCCAGATTCGCTGGTTGGCCTTCTGATTCCCATCCATGGTTGATAACCCTGTGCCAGCAAACCCAACTTGGATGGTTCTGATGAATGTCGCAATTAAGGAGATCATGAGTACCTTGGAGGTGCCTCATGATCGCATGGACTGTGAAGAGGCACTGAAGGCAATTGAAAAGGTAGTCCAGGACTCGCTTGCGAGCGCGCGTGCTGCCGGAAACCCTGAGGTCGAAATATTCCGTGCTCCCGCAAAATCGTTGTAGTCGCGTTCTATAATACATACATACTTTTTGTGCAAAACATACATACTTTTTGTGCATTTGGTTGTTGTGGTCATGCGACAGAACGAGATACAGAGTCCGAATCAACGTGCCTTTTATTTTCCCATGAGATCCAAACGCAAAACAAAGACTTATGTTGTGCTACACAACGAATCTGACGACGAGACACTCGCCATTCCACACGCCCGTTCTTTCCACATAACCAGTGATGGTCTTCGCATTCAGCCAACCCCCGCCTCTCCACAAAAAGGGACTTCAAGTCGTTATTCCCCTCCTCCGAGTCCCGTGTATGACTGGAATCCAAGCGCCTTGTACGAAGAGGGCGTGGATGATCTCTTAGCTCTGGATCGACCCTCTGAGGAAGAGGGGCTTTCAGCCATTTCAGATGTCGCTGGCAAGGTTGCTGCAAAACAGTATCCAACTTCGGTACGTCTTTTATTCTCTGAGTTACGTCAACTTACACTAGATTTGAAGGATGCGCCACTCCTAGACTGGGCCGGTCGGGGGAAGGGGGATCCTGGATATAGGGATGAATTCCTCGCAGAGATGTTGCGTTTGGAGGGTCGTGGCGATGGTCGGTTGCAGGGGTGCATGTCTTGCTCCTCTGCTGACGGGGCCTATCGTTGTGAAGATTGCATAGGGGGAATCATTGAGTGTTGCAGCTGTTGCCTTAAGCGGCACCGTCACCTGCCACTTCATATCATCCAGGTATGAGCTGCGCTTTTGTTGGTTGATCCAGTGCTGAATCACTGCAGCAATGGCATCAGCATTTCTTTCAGAAGACAACGCTCAAGGACATGGGACTACGTGTGCAACTCGGGCACATGGGTTCCCCTTGCCTAGTTCCGAGGCCCGGCCACACGGATTTCATAGTCCTTCACACAAATGGCCTACATTATGTCGTGGTTGATTTTTGTGGCTGTGACCACCGCATAACGAGTTGACAACAACTACTTAGAATAGAGTGGTACCCGGCAACTGTTCACTATCCACAGACTTGCGCCACATTCCGTCTACTCGAGCTCTTTCACACGATTACTCTTACTGGGAAGCTGTTGGCTCACGAATTTTACAAGGCGCTTGAGCATCTCACAGACAATACTGACCTGAATGTTCCCAAGGTAAGTCAAACCATTCAGTGTTTGGCGGAAGGTGACGTGTCTTTTTCAGACACGGTATAAGTCACTCATGCGAATGATACATGAGTTCCGCCATCTCAAATTGATGAAGCACAACGGTCGGGGAAACATCAAGAATGGCCTCATTAGTACCGGCCCCTCGGATTTGACTGTACCTTGTCCCGCTTGTCCGATCCCCGGTATCAATTTGCAAGATGAATGGGAACAAGTTCCCAAAGAAATGAGGTACGATATTCGGTCACCTTTGTCTTATCTAAATCTAACAATCTTGCAGGTTTCTTTATACGTTGATCCTAGCATTGGATGCGAACTTTCGGTTGAAGAACCTGATGCAGTCGTCAATCAAGAAGGACCCCGGATTACATACTGGCATGGCCTACTTCACCGACGACGAGCCGTACCTCAAACATATTTTGAAGTACGCGACACAAAAGGATGTAAGTTGATCTTAATTCTCCCACGCACTTTTCTGATGATACCCCTCGTCTTTTAGATCAGCTCTTGCAGCGGATTCAAAACATTGGCCCATGCTGAAACCAAATTTTCAGCAGGGCTGCGGTCAACGGGGGTCGGCATGGCTTTGTGCGCCCGTCACGAAATTGTAAGAAGTGGTGGAGTAGGCGATCTCCAGAAGGGAGAAAGGTTCGTCTCCTTTGAATGTAACAATACGAAGCTAACGGAGTGCGATCAGATATTGCAATATGGATTACATCTTGTTGTCCGCGCTCGCTCCCGTACTGGTCCTCGGAGTTTTTATATCGTACGACATCGCCTGCCAGTTCAAAGTCAACTTCTTCGACCGCATGGAAGCTCTCCCCGACCACCTGAAGTTACCCGATGGTGTTTCCACTGATTGGGGCATTCCCAAATGCCACTGCCCCATGCACAAACTACCTTGTCAAGCCCCCCATTCTCTTAACTTCAAATTGGGTGTGGGACGAACTGACAGCGAGGGGATTGAGCGGAGTTGGGCCAAGATGAACCAAGTGGCCAATAGCACCAAAGAGATGGGCCCAGGATCTTGCCATGATACGCTTGACGACCATTTCGGTCACCACAATTGGAGGAAATACGTCTCGCTCGGTAAGTTTTGCCTATTCATTATTGGGTTGGTTGTTAACCTTTTTTTTATGAACAGGTACAACGTTACATTCCCGACTACTACTGGCTGTCAAGGAACAGAAGCGGCAAGAACACATCTTCAATGAATTCACGGACTCTCTTCGTGAGGGTGGTAAGGTTGATATTGAGCAGTGGACGGCGATGATCGTCGCTTGGCAGAAAGACCCGAGAAAGACGAACCCCTACGTTTCTCTCGTCACTCGTAAGTTCTCATCTGAATCAGATAAATATATTTTAACGTGCCTTGCTCTAGATGCATCGCAAAACGACGTCAAGAACCAACTTTTGGAAGAGGAAAAGAAAGACCTTGCGGCAGGTGTACCGCATATTCATTCAACGGGACCAACAGCGTTCATCTTGATGGGTTTAATGATAGAGGAAACTCAGTAAGACTGTTCTCATTCACACATTCAATCACAACTAACTTTTTTATCATCCAGACGGCGCATTGCATGGGATGCGAGGAGACCCGAAGAATTGACAATACATCAAGATAATGAACTACAACAACGGCGGCTGGTGCTGATGCGCCAACTAAAACAATTTCGAAGCATGCAAGATGTCTACACCCCTGCAGCCGCCGTCATGCTCGCTCAAACGGAAGAAGCTCAGCAACATCTTCCTGAGGCGAAACACGTCCAACCTGAGGTCGAGCACCAGGAGTTGTGGCTGCCCTCTGCGCTTCCAGCCAATCATCGCATGCACAGCTGCCAGGCAGGTTTGATCGATATTGAAACAAGACTTCGGCAAGCACAGTGCCTGGACGCACTCGAGAAGATTCGGACTCTACAACGAGGTCGGCTGTCTTTCATTGGCTTTCGCAACAGAAACATACGAGGCCAGAACCCGACGACACGAGCAGCAGACACAATCAACCGGATCGAGGACAAGAGCAAGGCACTGGCTGTCAAGTACCGCGCGACACGTCGGGCACTATTCAACCTTATGGGTCCAGGCGATTGGGAGAGGGAGCTTAAGGAGTTCAACGATGGAGACCTAACGACGCCTGATGGCACCGAAATCAGCATAGAGGATCCTAACGAGGAGATCGGACCGGATGGGCGCCTTTTGTCAAAGAAACGGCGAATCGCTCTTGAAAGGGGACTCGGGGAGGGTAGGCGCGTGGTTTCGTGGATCTGGACAATGAAAGGGTCAGCAGGCAATGGAGAAGACAACGAATTGAATGAGGGTAAGTCAATGTCGGTTCAGTATATCCAGGTGCTAAGTCTTTCTATAGCTTTACGTGTTGAGTGGGCCAAGGCACGAGCAAGAAGCCTACGGTGGTCGGAGGAGGTGATGTTGTTGAAAGAAGAGATGAGGAGGGTGAGGAAAACACTTGAATGGAAGGCTTCGTGGTGGGACGACCGCCAAGAAGGCTGGTTGGGTTTAGACGCAGCAGCAAGCGAGGGGGTCAAAGCATATGCGGCGCGACAGGCGAGAATCCAGCGCGATCTTCACGCGAGATTCACTCGTCTGTGGGACCAGCCTCTCGTGCCTTTTGTGCGTGAGGAGGACAGCGGTGAGGGAAGCACGATGGTCCTCGATCCCGTCGTCGAGGCTTTCTTCGAGGACGAAGAGTGATTCATGATGTAGCTGGTAGTTTTTTGGACAATACTTCTTCATAGAGACTTTACATACATGTGAAGGTAACATCTACTCTATCTCCTTACCTTGATGCTCTTATCCCGTGAGGATGGGTGGATGCGGTTGGAACTTCAACCATTGTTTACATTTGTGTACCTAAGCCATCGTTCAAGTTTGCAGAGAGAAAGTCATGCTGTCGTATTCACCAGAACAGTGCAAAAGATAGAAATTATAGTACAAGGATGAAAGAAAAGTGATTTCTCTTGCCATATATACCATTGTGATGAGGGAATAGCAGACTCACGGTGGCCCAAAGGTATCAAAGTCAGACTACATTATTGTTTACTATTGTGTACCAAGGGCATCAAAAGGGCCAAGGTCATCCGAAACAGGTTTGTCGCATCCAGCTATCATGGTTGCAATCAATGGAGGGAAACTATTCGGAAGTGTCAGAACATTATTAAAGATATATTGGGTGAAGTTTCAGAGGCTGTTTCTAGGAAAAACAAAGCTCTAGAGCAGAAATATCTCCTCAGAATTAAATCTGTGCAATGTTGACTATATTTAGCCATCAAGAAGCAAGATCTATATCATATCCTGACACAGGCCTTATAAACCAGAATAAATAATTTACTGCAAAGACCCATGCCTACAGCCAGTGCATGGATACACCCTCCCAGCAATGGACTTAGGTGGGTAGGTCCAGTCAATATAGTATATGGCTACAGCCAAGGGTGGTATTCAGTTTGGCCGACCGTCCGAACCGTCTGGTGTTCTTTGCGATAATAGAAAATTTTTAAACGATTAGCAGCGACGGAACCACGTAGAACTGTCCCGTCCAACTCTCGCAACTGATACGTCGTGTCATGACTGGTGGCTACCACTTTTATCATATAAAACAGGTAACTGCCTATAGGTCCCTGTGTATCCATCCACACTCTTTATGATAGGGAATCATTACTGTTACCATGTTTTTTCATTATCATAAAGGCTGCGCTTTTTCATTAAGTGTAGGCAAGGTTTTGGGCCTCCCTCATAAGGTAGCCTGTGGTTATCATTACCAATTTCATATCTTTTCAAAGCCATATCATTGCGATTTTCATTAGTTGTCTGGCGAGTATCATTGGATATTTCATTAGCTACATGGGTGATATCATTTTGCGATTTTCAATGGTTACTTTGGCAATATCATTGGAAATTTCATATGCTACTTGGGCAATATCATTGCGATTTTCATAAATTATGTGGCCAGTATCATTGGAAATTTCATTAGCTGGTTGTGCAATATCATTGGCAATTTCATTAGCTACTTGGGCAATATCATTGTGATTTTCATAAATTATGTGGCCAGTATCATTGGAAATTTCATTAGCTGGTTGTGCAATATCATTGGCAATTTCATTAGCTACTTGGGTGACATCATTGCGATTTTCATTAGCTACTTGGGCAATATCATTGTGATTTTCATTAGCTCCTTTGGCAATATCATTGTGATTTTCATTAGCTACTTGGGCGACATCATTGCGATTTTCATTAGCTACTTGGGCAATATCATTGCGATTTTCATTAGCTCCTTTGGCAATATCATTGGAAATTTTATTAGTTACTTGGGCAATATCATTGTGATTTTCATTAGCTACTTGGGCGATGGGTGGTATACACTTTTATGATAAAAACCAGACATATGCCTGGAGGGCGATGTGTATAATGCCTAGAGGTTCAATGAGATCGCATATCTCATTGTTCTAGGATATTTCATTGCGATTTTCATATGGATACCTGGTGCTTTCAATATATATTTCATTCTCAACCCCAGGATATTTCATTGCGATTTTCATATGGACACCTGGCTCTTTCAATATATATTTCATTCTCAACCCCAGGATATTTCATTGCAATTTTCATATGGATACCTGGCGCTTTCATTGGATATTTCATTGTTAGCCCCAGGATATTTCATTGTGATTTTCATCTGAATGCCTGGTGCTTTCAATGGATATTTCATTCTTGTTCCTAGGATATTTCATTGCACTTTTCATAGATATACCTGGTGCTTTCATTGGATATTTCATTGCTAAACCCAGGATATCTCATTGTGCTTCTCATTTGGATGCCTGGTGCTTTCAATGGATATTTCATTCTTGTTCCTAGGATATTTCATTGCACTTTTCATAGATATACCTGGTGCTTTCATTGGATATTTCATTGCTAAACCCAGGATATCTCATTGTGCTTCTCATTTGGATGCCTGGTGCTTTCAATGGATATTTCATTCTTATTCCTAGGAGATTTCATTGCACTTTTCATATGTGTACCTGGCGCTTTCAATGAATATTTCATTTTTAGTGGCAGCTGACCTTTCAGGGTCCAGGGTGCATTTCCAAATGTAAAATGGCAATAAAATCAGGAAAAATTAGGGCTCAATGCTGATCATCATGTTGGGTAACATTGTCAGGGTCCAGGGTCCAGTTCCAAATATGGTAATATATCCAAAAATAGCCAGAAAAATAGCAGAAAAAGTGAATATATATAAAAATGGTGTACAGAACGTCAGGCACTGCCTTCAGGGTCCACTTCAGGTTCCATCCTAAAAGGGAAATATCACCTGGTTTGACCAAAAAGTGAAGAAAACCAAGTGGAGAATGATTTTACCTATCAGGGTCCATGTAATGGGATGTTGGGATGATGGTCACATGACCAATTACCAAAAATGGTCAAAAAACAAAGGTTGTAGCCCTACACTGTAGCTTCCTGAATCTGTTCAAATTATGTTCTGAAGTGCTCCCGTTGTGGAGATATGAGGTAAAGGAATCCCAAAAGTGTTGTGTTTTTTTTTGTTTTTTGCATTTTTCTCCATGAAAACAAAACCAAACAATATGATTTCAGTATATTTAGAAAGCTAAAAGAAAGGGCTACAACTATTGTATCATGGGGAAAATGACCAAAAAAGGAAGGTGCATGCCCTAGAAAAGGAATGGTCAGATATAGACTACCAAGTTTACTGATAGACTACCAAGTTTACTGATAGACTACAAAAAAGTCGGACTCAACTACAAAGTTTACTGATACACTACATAAGACTACAAAAGTCGGACTTAGACTACAAAGTTAGGGTTAGGGCTAAAAGGTTATCCAAAGTCAACCTAGCCCATCCATCCCATACATGGCACATATTTGATGGGGAAATGGCTGGGGAATATACAGATACATTGCTGGGACTCTATTCCATGTCTAGTTTGAGGAATCATATGCAAAAGAGAGCATGAGAGCCTTTAGAAAAGGCACTTTTTTAGACTACAAAAATTTGTAGTGTCTGCTTTTGTCATCAGAAAAGTTTGTAGTGTCCGCTTTTTAGACTACAAAAGTTTGTAGTGTCCGCTTTTTTATTGGAAAAGTTTGTAGTGTCTGCTTTTTCATTTGAAAAAGTGTGTAGTGTCCGCTTTTTTAGACTACAAAAGTGTGTAGTGTCTGCTTTTTAGACTACAAAAGTTTGTAGTGTCCGCTTTTTTATTGGAAAAGTTTGTAGTGTCTGCTTTTTCATTTGAAAAAGTGTGTAGTGTCCGCTTTTTTAGACTACAAAAGTTTGTAGTGTCCGCTTTTTGAGACTACAAAAGTTTGTAGTTGACATGTAGGTTATGGTGTCCTTGGCCCTGTCTAGGTTATGGGGATGAGGTTGAAGGATTGACATGATCTTACATATTGCCAGTGCTGCAGCATTAGTTTTTGACATCATGCACAAGTTGTCTTTCACATTAGGAA